CTCCCGCTCCCCGGCGGTCCCTCCGCGCGGGCTCGGGGGGCTCTTCCCGCTCCCCGCGCCTCGCTGCGCGGCGGCGGCAGCTGTGATCCTTCCACGGTAGCTGTAAAGGGCGGCCCGGTTTCCTGCCGGTGCGGGCCCCTAGTGCCGTGCTCTAAAATGGGCGTCGTTAGCCAGGCAGCGTTTCAGATGGTTTGCGGGTGTCATTTGACAGTACAGTTGGAAAGGTAGCTGCTCCTGGTAGTATTGCTGCAGTTTTACAAAGCTGTCGAACAGAATAAGTATTTTAAAATTGCAGGCACTTACGCAAAAGTACCGGCTTTTGCTAGGTTTCCCTTGGATCAAGATAAGGTTTTTTTTTTAACATGAGAATTGCCTGTTCTGAACTTGGACTGCGTTCTGGCCTAAATGAAAGCATGATTACCGAGTTGGCTTGAATTTTCAAAGTTCAAAAAGCCCGATTTTTATTTTTTTTTTAAATAAAGTACAGTCTTAGTAGGGCTTTAATTGTTAATGTTCTAATGGAAACAGTTTTCCAAATGATCCCTGTGGTGTTTATTTATTTGTCATATGTGCTTGTAAAACTCAATCATTATTTCCTTATTTGTGTATTTGATTGGTTCTGTTGTGGTAATGACTGATCAGACAGTGTGAAAAGAAAACGGAGCTTTATGAGGGCTCTCATAAGGGAAATTGATTGATTAAAGACTCCTCTGATTCATACGGCTTTAAAAATTCTACTTATGTATAGTATTAATTTGCAAAATACCATTATTAAGACTATCCAGTAAATCAGTTGTTGCTTTGTGGCCAATTATGATTACACAGCACTGCTGTCTGAAAATTGATTTACAGACTTAGCCGTAGAGCTCTACAAAACAAAGTCTGGAACCTGCATGTTGGGAGTATGTGAACCCTGAGTCACAAGGCAGCGTGCTAACTTGGGGATTCCCATGCAGATCCAGGCCCTGGGACTGCAGAAGGCATTTGGGTGATTTTAAACGCTTGAGGTTTTCTTAACTGCTGCTGCCTTCTACTATTTTGTTAAACATATAAGAAAGTGTCTTCTGTAATAATGACAGATTATTATTGTAGTTCACTTCCTTCTTTCCCTGTTCGTAGAGATTTTGTCATTTATATAGTAACTGAAGAAGTTATTTACTGAAGAAATAAAGACAATTTTAGTTGAAATGCTTTTCTGATAAAAGAGTTGCTTTAAAAATCAAATTTTATATATATTCTTTCAGGTAACATTCTTATCTAAAAATGAAGATCATGTTCTTGTTTCTCAAATTTACTCCTGCATCTTTATAAGTATGTTGAAATTTGTATAGCTTCAGAGCTTTTATCCTTGCTTTCTGGCACTGTCAGAAAGAGACATGGTTGGTATAGTCATTAAAGTGGCTGAAACTCCCCCATGCTGTTCTAAATTGGCTGAGAGTCCCAGTTTACAAACAATACTGTTTGTTTTGGGGTTTTTTTTTAGTATGATGCTTGGAGTAAGATATAGTAAACATGGAGTATAGACACACGTACATGAAATGCATGAGTGATTCATGTTTTATAGCCGACAGCAAAGTATTATTTAAGACCCTATCCCGTAGGAGGTAATCCATATCTTCATGTTTATGTATATTAAATTATGAATTACATTTTTGCCAGTAAAACCAAATTTTATTGAGAATTTTTTCTTTCCCTTCCTTAAGCAATAAAATACTGTTTCATTCGTTGCTACTGTGATAACTAATATTTAGGAGCAGATTAGAAGGATATTCAGTAGTTGGCCAGTCTGCAACCCCTGAAATTTTAGTTACTTTAAAAAACATAAACTTTTTTAAAGATTTGGAAGAACTTGTCATCGTAGTTACAAACAGTATTTTCTTATTTTACATTCCAAACTGGAAGATGTTGTACTTCAAGTAACTGAGATATTCAATACCATAAGCAATATATATGACTGCAAGAAACATCCTAGTGTAAATTCCACATGGGATAAAAGCAGCACTATGCCTAAGCAGAATTTTAGGTCCCCGTGCTTACTATTACTTAACACTTTTATATACACCAGTTAAATCAGTATTTTTATTTAAGCCTGAAATATATCAAATAGATTTTATTCAGCACCTTTTGACGTTAGTAGCAAATTTCCTATTGAATAATAAAGTTACTGTCTAATGTCCAAACGATGGACTTTGTGTAGACTGTGTCATTTAACTCAGATAAGTTTTATGGAAGTAAAAGCAAAATAAAACCAATTTTTAGAGTAGAAGAGGGAAACATAAAATGTAATGAAACTTTACTACCCTTTGTGTCCTGCGCTCTGTCATGTTAATAACTCTACTAACATTGCTTTCACTTAATTTAATGCTGATTGCCTTTAACGTTTACTAAACAGTTTTGAAAATTGCTGTAGCTTAGCCTGAGACGTTTGTGATTAGCTGCACCAATTTGAAATGGCCAATTTGGATGATGACAGAACCTCCTCTGCGCATGCTTTTTTAAAATTTGGTAAGTGTGCAGTTCTGTGTTTTGTACTCAACAAAAAATAATTGTGTGTTTTGTGTTTCATGCAGTGTTTTGTGCTAGCCATTTTTTAGCACTGTACAGTACAACTTAAAAATTTGAGCTCTTTCAGTGAAAGTTTCTGAAAATTGGAATCTACTTAGATTGAAATCTACTGTTCAGATCTTCCTATTTTATTTGTGTTTTGTGTTCTTTTAAGTATCTCTCAGTGTAACAATCTCTGAACTGAAATTTCTCTTTTAAGATGATGGTCATGTGAAAGGTGCACCAAGAACGGTGTTTAGATTTAACTCCTCAAAAAACCCAATGTGACTGGTTTAGAGAAAAGAAGTAAAATTTCCAGTAAGTCAGTCATTGTTCCAAAGCTTGAATTTTGGAAATTAAGTTGAAGCAAAATAAAGCCCCCTGGCACAGCTTCTCTTTAGAAGCTAGAATATGTGAGGTTGTCAAGACCATTACTGTTTTAGCTCAATATATTTTGAAAAGAGTTTGACTGGAACAAATGTGTCCATATGTGAAGCTCGCTGATCTGGGGAAAACTGTATAGGACTCTTGTTTAGTCTGTGTTGAAACACAAAAGCAGTACAAGTGCTAGTGAGAGTAACCAGGGAAGGGGATTTCAGCTGTCTCTTGCCACAACAGAGTCACTTGAACTACCCTGCCCTGCCTGTGGCACTTCTGTTTTGCCTCTCAGTGTCAAAGGACATGTGAAGTGTTGACATTGTAATAAAAAAATTACTCTTTCCAAATTATTATATTGATACTTGATGTTACTGTTGTTATGATGCAAAATAAACATTTTTAGTACTTTTAAGAGCTCTTGTTTCGAGTTCTTAGAAATGGCAATGATTGCCTTGCATATCCTGAATGGTTTTCTGCCTTGCTTGTAGCATTTACAAGGCTTGTGTGGTAGACATTGGCGTTTTGGTGTATTTTGGTTATGTGAAGCTCTTGTGTGCTGGCCTGACGGTCAGTGTTTTATTTCTGGTGTTTAGTAACTTCTGTGTGTTGTTAGCTACTGTGAATGCTGAAATCAGTAATTTCCATTAAGTATAATGTACTGTAGAGAGAAATCACTTAAGATGATTAGGAAATGGAGAAAGGACAGAATAAATTGGAACATACTTTTTTCTTTCTCCATGAAATTGTAATTGAAGTATATGCATAGTCTAACACATGATTTTTCTTGATAAATGATAGTTGAAAAGTTTGTCACTTTAAAACTATTTAGATGAAACTATTACAAGATTTTACTCATTTTTACTTGTGTTGTTATCATTACTCAACCTACGTAACACTTTGTATCTTGTGTTTATTCCTAATGTTTATTCAGATAGAGGAATACCTTAATACTTTTTTCTTCTTCCTCCCCCAGCCCCTCTCCTGCATTTCCTTACCATGTTTTCATTGAATTGTAGAACAGTTCAGTTTGGAAGGGATGTTAGGAGGTCATCTACTCCAGCCTCTTGCTCAAGGCAGGGTCAGCTATGAGATCATAGTTTCCTCCTGTATGTAGTGATTAAAAATCCCCACCAGCAACAGCACAGTTGGTACATGTTAAGTTCATGGAATCAGAGTTCAGATATTTACATATGTGAGAAATGAATTTTCCTTCTAGTGGAAGTGCTTCTGAAAATTATTTTCTGTTATCACCTTGCTCAACTACATGGGTTTGGACTTAAAAGCAGATGTATTTCATGGCAGACAACTATTAGAATAAACTGTATTGCATCCAACAGTGTTTCTCTCCAGTACTGTATTAAGTCTGAGCTCAGGAGAGATTGCAGGAGAGGTCTCGAGGGAAGGGAAATGTGACGTTGGGAGGATGTGATTTGTTCATATGGTATCATTTCTTAAACTTTGCTGTGTGAAAAAATAAAATCCTCTTTGGTCCCAATGACTTCTGTAATGTGAAGATGTTGCTGCCGGTACGAATACCGGGTAATGAAGGTTACTGTGATCTGAGATCCAGAACTTGTTCATGTCGCAAGTGTTGGATTATATCCAGAACTAGTGTCGCATTAAAGGACTGTGGTCAGTTTTTAGTCTCATCAAATCTCGAAAGAAACCTGGTATTCTCAGCTTTTTTGTCTGTGCTGATTTAATTATGCAAGTAAACATTTTCTTTTGTTCTTCTGGCATGTGAAATGTTGGGAAAAAAATTCTTGCTGTGTTGCTTCCATTTGTTTGTGATTAAACTTTGGGGGGGGGTGTTTGGTTGTTTGTTTTTTTAAATTCTGTACTTTGAAAAATTTGAATAATCAATCCTTGTTGAAATATGCAAATCTTTATCCATAGACTAGGTCCAGAATTCCATTCTGATGCCTATTTTTCTTTAATACCTGCAATTGCTGCCATCTTCAAGGATGTGTGGATGTTCAAAGCTTCTGTATAGATGAATTTGGGAGCAGGGTTTCAAAATGGTGGCCATAGCTTTTAAATCTAAACATCTAGGCAGTTTATAGCTCTTTCCTGAAGAGCAGTTAATGCTAGTCTGAAGTATAAATGGAATAAAAATGAAGTGGATGGGAAAGTACTTTAACATCAGGATGACATAATAGTCTCAGCCTCCAGAGGTTGATATACATAAGTATTTACACTGCTAATAGCTCACCTCAGAGAACTTCCCTTACTTTCCTTCAGTTTTGTATTCTGCTTAGAAGAGACAATTAAATTATAAATTTTTCCTGGAATTGTTGTACATTTGAGTTTCACCTGCTGAATAATGTTTTCTTACAGTTTCCATGTCTTAGCTAAGTCAGAAATATCTTCTCTGTTTATTACTTTAGTTCTACACTAGTAATTGATGTCTCTGTTATCAGTTATTGGGCTGTTGCAGATTTCTTCTTGTTCTCTAATACTTTGAAAGGAAATGACTATCCTTTTTAGTAATTCTTCAACCTGATGAATGGTGAAATCATATTACTTTGGAACCTGTATGTGGTAGGAAATAAAAGGGGATTAATTTTTGATTCAAAGTATGGATATAGTGTATTTAGTCAGTGCAATATCTGAAGACAAACAGGGATTTAATTGGACTTGGGATAAGGATTTTGAGTGTTCTCTTATCAGACATTAAATGTATTAATGCAGGAAGCAACACTTTGATTTCCTATCTGTTTGGGTTTTTAGTGATTTTGAAGTAGTTACTGACATGCAGCAATCCACTTCTGATGTAAGGAAGTAATGGACGTACTTCATTCTTTGTGGAAGAAAATCTGAACTACCATGTACCCTATTTAAATTTTGTACAGGGTTGTTACACCGGTGTACAGCTGAAGAAATACTAAATCAACAAAATATTTTTTTATATTCCTTCCTAGCATATATACTTATTTACCTAAAATAAAACTCACACTGTATGGTTACAATGAAATGAGATATTTATGAAAAATAGTATTTGAAATTAATGTCTTCATTCGGTTTCTTCTGAATGCTAACGTACAAACTGAGAACTCAAGGGTACTATTTGCATATGTCATTCTTTCATGTTTAAGTGTTGCAGAGTCTTGCTGCTGTCATTTTTTTCAGTTTGAAAACCTATTTTAAACATGTAATTGAAAATAGCTTTCTATGGCAGGTTTTTGTCTTGCTGAAATGAACTATTAAATAGCTTTTGGAAAAGAGTATAGATGGGCTTTTTTTAGCCATCCTAAAAATAGCTTCCACTGGGTTATGGTCTCATTACAAAACCACACAGAAGGAGCAGCTAGCTTCATGTTTGCCCTATCTGTTTCTTGCTTTTGATTAGATTGTGATACTAATGAAACATAACTTACCACAGCATTTGTCCAGCAGAATGCTGTAAACATCCAAGGAAAACATGAACTATATAGATGCTAATGAGGAATTAATGAAGAGTATGTGGAAAACTTTGATTTTGAGTGTTCCTTTAAACAAGTTCTCCTGCTCGTAGTAGGAGTACTTTTAAGGAATACTTTCAAGGCATAAAACTTTACTTTTTGTCAATTTTCTTGAACTTTGAATTAATTTCACCTTTTTGTTTCATCAACAGTATACTCTGGCTGTTTTAATTTATTTCTGCTAGTAAAGTTCCAAACATCTAAAAGAATATAGTTTGTAGATGGTGGTGCTTTGACATTGTTATGCTCTTTGTTCTGTTCAGTCTTCTTTCTGCACAAAATTCAAATCTTTGAATGCTCTGAAAAAGGAGAATATGCTTTTTGTTCATGATAACTTTATTTTGTTTCTCTGTTGGCCACAGAGGGTCACAGATGGTCTGGTAAGTATGTAAATTAGAACAATTTTATTTTAGAAACTTTTGACTTGTGTGTATAAGTGTGCGTGCCTGTGAATACTCCACTGTTTTTCATGGTGCAGTACTGGGGTTAACAATCTGCAAGTAATAGACATTCTGAACCTTTTTCACACACAAAGGACAGTGTATTATGTATGTGTTATAAGGTTAACAAATCTAAGAGTAAGAATCTTTGTCTTTGAAAAACTAGTAAGTAAATATTTCTCCTAAATTTGCTACTTTTTATGCAATACGTGACTTACTGAAGATTTTTTCCTATGCATATTCTGTCCTACTTTCACTGAATCACCTTATAAAATTACAGTTACTGCAGGTCACTGTGTTGTGTGCTTTTGCAAGGTAACTGAATTAATAGTATGACAATATAAATTGCAAATTTTCTAATGGACAGGGATTCCTAGGCAAAAAGAAGTAGAAAGATAAAATTGCTTTGAAAAATGGATTTAAATGGCGTTAAGAATGTTGATTTTTAAACAGAAGATACAAAAGCAGGGCCTGTTGCGACAGGACAAGGGGGAATGGCTTTAAACTAAAGGGGGGTAGATTTAGACTAGATATAAGGAAGAGATTTTTTACGCTGAGGGTGGTGAAGCCCTGGAACAGGTTGCCCCAAGAGGTGGGGGGTGCCCCATCCCTGGAAACATTCAAGGTCAGGTTGGACGGGGCTCTGAGCAACCTGATCTAGTTGAAGATGTCCCTGCCCACAGCAGGGGGGTTGGACTAGATGATCTTTAGAGGTCCCTTCCAACCCAAACTATTCTATGATTCTATGATTCTGTGAAAAGGTGTGATGTATTACAAGTTGTTTTTTTTCCTCCGTTACAGATAAACTTCATTTCTTTTAGCTTTGTTTTTTTAGTCAACTAAAATAAATTGGGCTCTCTGCGCTTCCCTCTCAGGCCCTTTCCCCACATGCACATGTTGTTTGTAACTTAACCTCTCCCAATGAGGAAAGGAAAGGCTGTAGGGGAAGCTCAGATGTGTTGTTAAACCAGAGAATCCATGCACAACAGACCCACAGGAGTCTGCTCAAGGAGGGGTGGATTTTTTTTTTTTTTCCCCCACTACTACAATTGCAAAGCAAAAGTAATGCTAATTTGCGGGGTGGGGTTTGAGTTCCTGAGGGGCAAAAACATTTTCCAACCTCCCCACCACAGGACTTGATGAATAAAGCCTCTGTCACCACTCCACATACATTCATTTCCTTTGGATGAGAGTCCTGTATATGGACAATCTCCTGTCTAATGCTTGGATATGTGCTGGGCGTGCGAAAGAGGTGACTTGAATAGGAGCACTCTGCTGCATCCTGCCAGAAGTGCTTGGCTGGCTGGGCTTTGCTGGCAGTTCATTTCTCTGAGCTTTTCAGAAGGACAGCATGCAGTCCGGAAAGGGGAAATTCTCATTCTTCCTGTTATCAAATGGCTCTGTGGGAGATCTTGCCATCCAAAACACTGAATAAAGCCAAAGTGATTTATGGAAGGAGAGCAGTGTGTTACTCTTAAATTAGAAGTTGGAAATGGTTTGCCCCAGTAATTTTTAAGAAATCGTGTCTTTCTGATAGGTAGGTCATTTCAGATATCAGGAGAACGGACTTTTCAGGTGCAAATAGGGAAGCAGTCAATATGTGGGACACTGAGAAGGAAAGATGTGGATTTGGTAGTGTAGTATTCCTCTGGAATATAGGTAATCTGGGGGCTTTATCTGTTGGATAGGTTGCTTAAGCTTTGGTAGTATGTGAGAACAAGCTAACCCTTTTTTGATTCAAGACGTGAAATCAGCTAGGCTTATTGTGGTGGTGGGTGAAAACGAGGTTAGGATAGGTAAAACACTAATAGTGTTGTACGTCTTCATTTTAGAGGGCAGGTAGCGAAGTAATAGTTAAATTTGGGCTACTTTTGTCCCTCTGCCTTCTGTTTTTCTACATATCTTTAGGAATTCTGTCTGTAGCATACTTAACTTCTAAGAAAATGTTCCTAGAAAATTCTTAACATTTAATAGGCTGTCTTCAATAATTAAACTATACATTTATGTAGCATTTGGTGTAGCTGAATATCTGCAAGTCATTGGAGATCCAAATGGAGGTCTTGTTTGTGTGGACAGGTACTGTAGAAAAAAATGTGTATAGAAATCTATTCTCTGAAATTATAGAAATTACAACTTTTTTTTGTTTGAATTGAAATTCGATAAATTGTGCTTTTGTATAACAAACATGAAAAAAAATCATATTGCAGTAATTTTTAGCAATAGTGGAATTATGAAACTAATTCTGATCTTGATTTTGTTTTTCTCTTCTTTTTTTTAGGTTCAATTTATGAGCCACTTAAAAGTATTAACCTTCCAAAACCAGAGGGGGGAAGTCTGTGGGACAAATTAGATCATTATTACAGAATTGGTAAGTTAATAATTGTTCCTACCATGAAAGATTTTCAGTGTAACTTACTAAAATATTTACAGTTATGGTTATGACAGTAATTAGCTTTGTCTTAAAATAATATCTGCGGTCTTTAATAAGGATTTTTATTTTCTGAGAGGTAAAGGGTTCTGTCATTACAATTCCTCATAAGATTCCTGTGATAATATAATGCATGTATTTGGATATTTCTTACATTGCTTGAAAAATCATGACCTGTAAATAGTGTTCAGAATGATCATTTGCATTTGTCAAATGGTAGAACAGATTCTGAGTTGCACCTGATGGTCTTGGATGGGGAGCAGTTTTTGATGCTTGAGCTAACCCAGCTATGAATTGGAATTGATATTTACATGTTAAATATCATCGCTACATTATTCTTACTTGAGGATAGTTTCCTAAATTTCTGCTGGGAGTTTGAAAGGTGCAAAAACTGGAGGGCTGAATTACACTTCTTGCTGAAAATGAAAATGTATATTGGAAATCCAGTCCAGCTGTAAGACTGAATTTAGAATTATTTTGGATAAAGTGGTAGCTAGTATTGTGGCATTAGCCAGATACAGCTGAGGAAACATTTAAATGGAAGAAAGCTTTCTTGTAGTACTTATAACAGTTTGACAGGCCATCAGTGAGAAGTTAATTTTTGTAACTGATGGTGCCATAATGGATTTTTGTGCTGAAATTTTATCTGTTAGCTAACATATTTTATACCAACTTTAGTGTTTTTCTTTTCATTATGAGATCATTTTAAGCCAAAAACATGCGTGTTAAAGAAACAATGGTTTATTTTGATTGTTTTGGGTGTTGGGGGGGGTTGTGTTATAATAAAGTCCTGTCTGTATTCTAAGATCAGGTTTTCTAATGGTTGTGCAATTGACTGTTTAAAATTTAAGTCTTAGTCAGGCAAGGGTATAGGATAGTGAGCAATTTTTCCATCATTCTAAAAATGTGGGATGAGACTCCCTTCATTCAAATTGCTTTTTGAAGTGAAATCTGTGAGTTGTGCCTGGTCTATCCATAGATGCACTGCTTTTGTCTTTCTTACAGAGGAGATGACTGTTCAATTTACTTTTAATGCTTGGCAGCAGCAAATCTGTGGTGGTGCTTGCTATTTAGCTGTTGGGCACTTATGTTGCAAGCAGTCTGCTGCCTCAGTAAAAATTTACTATTGGATTTATACTTCATTTTATAATTATCTCTATTGACTTTTTCAGGTAACATTTTATCAAAGTTCTTGTTATAATGTATTAAGTCACCGAAGAATATAATGCAAAAAGCCATAAACCCCAGTAATTTTCATTTAAAATACTTAATTTCTAATACATAGACAATAAAGAGGCTTTTTTAAATTGATGCTTGATAACATTCTGGAAGAAAATTGCTTTCTTGTCTTATAATGGACAGGTTATTGTTAGAAGGGTCGTTCAAGGACATTAAGCCCTGTTTCAATCTTGTGGCACGCTGGTTATTACACAGTTTTAGGAAAACAATTCACAAAATGCGAAATATTAAAGTACAAAAAGAAAGAAAGTAATATTTAGTATTTTTTCTAATTCAGTTTTGACAACTTGAAAATTCCTGTCTTGTTCTATTTTTATGTCAAGGTACTGAGTTAAATAACCGTAGTTGTCCTTTCTCCTTACTTACTCATTCCTTTCCTTTTTTAAAAAAATTGATACAATCGTCTGGCCTAAGTTAAAAATTTGATTTTTATGAATGTACAGTTCTGCAGAGTTTAACTATTTAAATTATTTGGGGGGGGCAGTTGACATACTGTAGCCCCCCTCCCCCCCTTTTTTTTTTTTAAATAAAAGGGAAATTACTGGGTTGCATTGTAGAGATTCTGTACAGAGAGGGTTGTACTAGAACAGAGCCATAAAAATAGTTTTGAATACTGATTTTTTGTAAAAAGGTCTAATTTGACTGAAAAAACAACGTGACAAAAAATTTTTTGTGTGGCTTTCTCCTCCTTACCTTTCTTTCTCTTCTGTTTTATGTTGTGCATGCTCTAACAGGTTGTTCACACCTTGATTTATTCCTGAAAATCTATGTAGAAACTGGAAGAAATATAAGTGCTGTTAATACCACTTTTTCTTTTTTCCTTTTTCCAGTTAAGTCAACGTTGCTGCTTCATCAAAGCCCCACCACAGGTCTGTTTCCTACAAAGACATATGGGGATAACCAAAAGGCAAAAGTACACGACAGTCTTTACTGTGCTGCATGTGCCTGGGCATTAGCCCTTGCTTACAGGTGAATAACTTCTAAACTCGCATCTCTGCCATGTTACATTCTTTCTTATGCAGTTCCCTGGGAATGTTTTAAAAGATGAAGCTTTATCAAAAATAGTTTTGTAAACCCATAGAGATGGTACATGTTTCCAAATCTCAATAAAAATATTTATGTAGCTACTAGGTTAAAAAATGCCACTCTACTTTTGGTAAGCAAACATGTTTTCATATGATTTAATTGGTACCAATATTCTGAAACAGAGGAATTAATGCATTCTATTAAAAATAAAGGTTATTGCGGCAAACTGTAATCAAGGAATACTGCTCATTTTAAATGTAGTAGGAGAGTTCAGAGCAGAAGCAGGCTTGTTGCAGGTAGTAACAATCTGGGTACTTGCAGGAAACTGAATCCTTGAATGCTGAGAAATGTGTATTTGGGAAATGATAGTGACTATCATCCTCGCTAGGTACAAAGGCTGGGCAGTCTCAGTTGTTAGCTCTTCTATTTTCCGTTTCTTCCATTTCCACTGTTGACTCATTAGAGAAGTAGGTTAGGAATTTGTGTGGTGTATTATGATGTTAAGAACTATGGGAGAGTTACTTCCCATAATAATTTATTCATAATTCCCTCTCCTTTAGGTCAAATAACTATGGAAATTGCTTTCTGAGATTTAGTATTCCTTGTTTCCAACCTTGCTACCCCAGCCACCCGGGAAAACACAGACAGAGGTGATGATAACTCAAATGCAGTGTTTTTAAGGAAGAAGATGGTGTGCAGATATTGAATAATTTACTCTTTTTAGTAATCAGTTTCACGTATGAGGTAGTGATCACATTCTTGGACAAAATTCTAGTATATGTTACAGAAGAAGGGCCAGAAATAATATGAGGAGCTACTGTTGAAGTAAAGATGATCTACTTTGCAGATAAAAAGTTTTGAGTTTCTTTTTTGTTTCCATTTATTGCTTTAGATTCTATACCTCTGATGCCAGTCTGAAAAAAAGTTATTAAAATTGTCTTCTAGGAAATGTTGTTAGAAAATGATGCTTTTTGAAAGAGAAGACGTACAGAGATCTGTGTTTACTTCTGGAGATGCCATGCCTGATATCTAATGGGTTTCAAAATTTTGAGAAACTAGCAAAAATTATAAGGAATTAACATTCAGAATGTGTAATTATTACTTTCATTTCTTATACTGAAATCTTTGCATTTTTCTTTTAATTCCTCTTCCTGTTGGTGAAATATAAGCATTTGAAAACAAAAAAATAGAAAGAAATTTAGAAGGAAGAATGGAAGGGGCAGGGGTGATTGTTTGGAATCGTCAGCAATTCATAGAAGAGAGCATGGCATAATGTTGCCCGAGTTAGTCAGTCTTTAATTTCCAATATGTAGAACCATAGAAGGTGATATATGAAATTTGTTGGAGGTTAAAGGAAGGGCAAGGTGGCAAGATAAGTAGTTTGTGTTACTTCCAGTTATGCTCAGAACAGGGCCCTGGACTTCAGGTGCTGCACAACAAATTTTCTTTGATGGGCAAAGGTTGGTGATTGAAATTAAGTGAAAGGCTAAAATCTGAAATGAGCCAAGATACAAGACTCGTGTGGAAGGCTGCATTATCTACCACATGCAGATTACTCTACTTGACTCATGCCAGTGCTACTGTCTGCTTTCATAAAAGCTGAATTTCTTGAGAGCGTGTTAAGAAGACAAACACTGCTATCGTGAATAGAGGAAAAATGTTGTAACATGAAAACTTGCAGAGCTTTTACATGTGCTTCTTATTGCTCTTTGGAATTATGATAAAGTTGAGAATAAATCCTGCTGCTTAAAATTTCTTAACCTATTAATTTTGCATTATCTGGCTTTATTCCTTGTGGGGTTGCTTTTTCCCCCCTTGTTTCAACTTTGTAATTGAAACCAAGTACATTTCTCATATCTAAGATTATTATTTAAATAGCACGATTTCTGGATGTGTATGATTTTTGAAGTTACTGCTACCTTCCTAATTTCAGTGTAGGTGGCATAACCTGGGCATAAACTACTAACTCGTTAAGTATGGTGGAAAAGGATATGCTTCATTTGCAGTGTAGTTATCATCCACTTAGCTGTAATCAAATTAGTAACTGCTATGAAGTGGACTGAGAAATAGCAGTGAGCATATTATGCTGTTTTGTATCAGAGATATGTTGTTGTAAGTTACAAATATGTAAGAAAACATCATTTTCACCTTGAAAGGCTCAATCAAAAATTGAGAACTGGAAGAGACAGAACACGTGAGTGCAAAGATCAAGATTGTTTAGACATTATACATTTGTTATAGTTAAAATAACTTGGGATTTGGCATTGGTTTTAATATACGTTTAGTAATATAGAAATTGAGAGTGGTGTTTGATTTCATGGTGTAAAAACATATACTAAGGTATCGAAACACATTTCTGGACATTCAGAGTAGTTAACTTTCAGCCTCTTGTATGCACAGCTGTAGTTTATCAGCATCATCTGGAAAGTGACTGCTTGATTATGAACAGCGGATGTTTTGTACAGTTAAAGAGAAATTGCCTTTGTGTTTTGGATCTCTCACGGAACACAGAACAGTGGCTTGCAATGTTATAATATCAGCAAGGACTTTTTTTTTTTTTTTTAAATCTTGAAGTAGGAATGTTTGTGTAAGTTGCAACATAAACTAAAAAAATCTTTTTTTTTTTTTTTTTAAATAAGGAAGGATGGGTTGGGCTATAAATATGTTGATATGAGTGTGGGCACCACTATACAACAGTGTTAATTACATACTTAATATTCCAAAGCGCTAATGTTTCCTTTTTTTCCCCCCCCCCCCCCCGCTAATGTATTTCCAATTTGGTTTATGAGTTCTCTCTCTTACCCAGGCGTATTGATGATGACAAGGGAAGGACTCATGAACTGGAGCATTCTGCTATAAAGTGTATGAGAGGAATTCTCTACTGCTACATGCGTCAGGCCAATAAGGTAAAACACTGTAGTGTGGACACAAGCATTCACTTAATTCTGAGGGATTAATTAAACTGTGAAAACTAACTTCTAAATATAGATAAAATTCAAAAAGGGAATGCAGTATTACTGTGTCCCAGCTAAGAACAGCTGCTTCACTATTGTCAGGTTGCAGCATTGTTTTAGGGTATAAAAGACACAAGCATTTTGCCAAGTAAGCTGCAGAGCATACTTGAAACTTCTTTGGGTTCCTTTTGCAGTTATTTATCCCGTTTAAACATTAGGCCATTAGTAATCGGGGGGGTTTTTTATGTGTTTTTAATGCTTAAATGGAAAGATGTAGAATTTATTTTAGCTAAGGCTGGAGAGTTTTCTTTGCACTGTTAACTTGGTTATTGCATTTGCAGTTGTTCTCCTTACCTAGGTGATTTGATTATTTTGCTTGGTTTCTTCAGCAGCCACTATCCAGTATTCTTTGACTTAATGATGTAAATTCAGAAGGGCAACAATCCGAAATGAATAAAGAAACAGGGTAACTTACTTACGTTGTAATACAGTTGATATATTCAGCTTGTAATCCCCTTGTGAGTATAACCTGAATATTCTTGAATATTCAGGGCTTCTCCTTATCAAAATTTAGATGTGGTGGATTAATTTTGCACAGTGGTTAGCAGTAATTCTACAAGTAGTTAAATATCTATATTCCATGTGATTATTTAAAGTTTCATGTCACTGACTTTTAACTGTATTAATAAAACTAACTCTCATGTGTTACCACATAGCTTCAATCACTTCTAAGCACGAAGCTGAAATGTAAAGTCTATAGGCATGTGATATCAGTAATAATAATAAGCAAATCAGGTGTATTGCCAGTTGTATTTATGCTGACATGGTATTTTTTTTCTCAGTTTTCTTAGTCTGCTTCTTTGTAGTCTTATATCTTTAAATAATCTTGACCTAAATTGATCTTGTTACAGTTGAGCTGTTGTTTTTCTCTTTGACATGCAGTGGTTTGTTTTGAGGATGATCACTGCAGATAGGAATAATGAGCATTAAATTAACACAGGTGTCACACTGCTGACATACTGGTTGCCGGTTTTTGCCTTGATTACTATAAATGCTTCTCTCTTCCCACAGCGTAGTAATAAGCAGTCTGAGATACCTAACAGACATGAGTCAAATTGGACTTTATTCTGAGAGACTGTATGTGCTTGCCTCATGTCGAAGGAGGATATTTTTTAATAATATGAATTATATATGTCCAAATACTAAGGCATGACTTGAATAGATGATGCTGCTTGTGACAAAAATTGCAGATGTTATATTCTATTGCTAATGAACATATGAGTTATGACCCAAAATGTATTGAATGCGTTCATGGACTAGACATGATAACTCCACAAAATAGTATTCACTTTCTTGCTTCTGGGGCACATGCTATATGCTCTGTATGATTTGTTGGTGGAGAAGAATATCACATGAAGTTAAGATCAGTGTTGAAAATGTTGTGAAACATGGACTAGGTCCTGGCAATGATGGTTAGAAACTGTTTGTTGGAGAGCGTAGCGTGACTTGAGGAATTATGGAGAAGGATCTTCTTCTTTTGTTACCTTCATTCTATTCTTTGTGAATGTGATCTCCTTTCTCTGCCCTATTGGCAGCTCTCTGACAGTCCAGATTGTTTTCTCAAATGGTTTTGTAAAGTAGCAGACGTTGTATTTCGTGACGAAAAAGGAGTCAAAACTACGTTAAAACCACCGTCGTTCTTATTTCACTGCTTTGTTGTTAACCTCTTGTATTAGTTATTCATCTTACCGCATTCCATCTCCATCATAAGAGATTCTGTGTCATAGAGACTCATTCTGAGGTTCAATGATAGTGTCCATGAATAAAAAGTCATTTTAATCTGGGGTACTAGTCTTCCTATCTATAATCTTTATGTTTTCTTTTTAAGCTATCAGCTTTGCCTTCCAGTATCTGTAAACATTTCACTGTACATCTGAATGTCACAAACTGTGCTCACCAAATTAAATCTTTGTTTTCCTATGTACTCTTTTATACTAGATATTCTTTGCTTTTGCAGCTGTTCATTTGTTACATGATCTGTACGTGGCAATTTCTGAACACTTTTGTAGGTCTATAACCCAAAAGGCTTTAAAAATATTATTAATAACAATAATTTCTTTTTTGTTTTAAAACCTTTGTCACATTGTCAAATGGTACAACAATAATTATTAATTTTTATGGATCATTATTCATAGAAATTAAGACTATTGTTCCCAACATAAGTTTTGGGCTCTTGCATTCCAGTAAGAGCTTTAAACTAGGAATGGTGAGGGAGAAAGAGAGTGCTCGACAATCAAGTGAGGAAGTGGTGGATGGTGTAGGCGAGCAAAGGGCCTGGGGTGATGTGAACAGAAGGCACATAGCATTAACTGAAGTGGAATTGTCCCAAGCGTACGTGTGGAAATAAGGAGGTACCTATGGGACAGCATTATGGAGAAGAAAGCTCTCGTACCCTTTCTGGGAAATCAGCATGCCTGGGTGCCTCTCAGAAATGCCCGTACACTAATGCATGCGGCATGGGGAACAAAAAGGAGGAAATAGAAGTATGTGTGCAGCTCCAGGGCTATGATCTCATGGGATCACAGAGGCGTGGTAGGATAGCTCAAGTGACTGGAACACTGTGGTGGACGAATACAGGCTCTTTAGGACAGGCCAGGAAAGTGAGCAAGGGAGTTGCCCCATATGTGAGAGAGTAGCTGCGTTCATGGTGCTCTGCTAGGGAAAGGTGGTGAGCCAGCTGAGAGCTTATGGGTCAGGATTCTATATGTACATTTCAGATCTGTGAATTCAGGGTAGGCGTGATATGCTTCAACGTGCTTTCTGCTAAGATTTCAGCTCCAGTAAAATGAAGTGGTGTCTGTCCAGAAGGTGGAAGTGACTAAGCATCTGTAGCTAGCTATTACAGTTTTTTTTTTCTACCAGACCCAAAAAGATTAGACAGATGGGTTGAATATTTGTATTCTTTAAGTATATGTATACTTTAAGTATGTATGAAATAGTTTCTTATAAGTTTCAGGAACTGTTGCTTCTAAGTTTTACGTAGTGGTCATATCAAGAAATTTTGAAATACCTGAGTTATGTAGTGAATTTGTGGTTGCCAAACATACTGAAATTATTGACTTCGATTTTATTTTTTGCTTTTAATTCACCTTTAGGTTCAGCAATTTAAGCAAGACCCCAAACCATCTGAATGTCTTCATTCTGTTTTCAGTGCACACACTGGAGATGAGGTCTTTTCCCATAAGGAATATGGTCACCTTCAGGTAAAATATGCATGTGTGCGTAAATGAAAGATTGGATGATTTTAAATAATGGTATTGCTGTTTCCATTCTTTCATGATGCAGCTGTCTGTTTAGATTTGTTAGATGTGTTGTACTTGATAAAATTGAGATTCCTTCTGCATCTTTTGGTGAAGAAGACAGACTGTATTGAAACATAGCTCAGTGGTATGTTTTGGTCAGAAGGTACCGAAATAACTGTGGGATTTGTGGAGGTAGATGGTTGGGTTGTTTATGAAGTTGCTTCTTTTTGAGACCGACAGGTGGCTGTCAGTAAATAATCCTGGCAAAAAAATGTTGAAGTAGTCAGTAAAGTGAAAGGTTTAGTGTAATCTTACATTGAATATTATATTTTTTATTAATGTTCCCAGCTTAATTTTCCTTAAGTCTGAGCAATTTTCATTCATAGTAAAGATTTAATGTACACTGTCAACAGCTTTGTCTAGTTACAAATTTGTTCACTATTTTGTGTAGTGGTTCCTAGTCAGATTCATTGCATAATTGATTGTTTTATTGTCTTTAATTTTCCAAAGTGTTGATTTCCTCTTTATTTTTTCTCTTTACCTTCAGACCCTTTTTTGCATTCATGACCTTGTTCTTTTGCATTCCATAACTCTGTGTACTCTTTTTAGTTCGGAAATTGTTAGTGGAATTATCCAGAAGTGGCAGTAGGTTGATAATTATTTAATTTCATGGTGACAGCATCACTTAAATAGTTTGTACAGTAAATGTGTTGGAATCAGGAAATGTATGGTCTGCGAAAAATGATTTATGGAGTTATCCTAAGTTAGCATTTTGGACTTCTATGTGAAGCTTCCTGAACATGCACATCTTTCATCTGCAGGAGCAGACAATAATTTTGGGACCTGGGGAGCACTGTATGATAGTTGAAGTCTCTGTTTTTTGTGGCAACTCAACCCTTCCCATACACATGAATGCACATTCCCTTCTGTCATCAGCAAATCTCAAAGAACAGAGGGTTTTCAGCTCTGTGGAGACAATAGAAAACAGAGTAACTGAGGTTGTTCAGTTGGGAAGAATGGAATATATTACGTAGCTGGTCTGTCGTTATTGCTGTACTTGGTGCTTTTCGGATTGTATTAAGAATCTGGAGTCAGTGGTCTTTAAATCTTTTGGAATTTTTAGAATTTGGACCTTATTCTGCTATGTTTCAGATAAGGATCCAATTTTTTGTTCTGGATGGTTTCTCTAAATTTACTATACTGAGATTGTAGTTTTGTAGCTCATTGAAGCAAGTTATTGTGATAAACTTATTTTCTCTATTGAAGTTGTACAAATTCTCAATTATATTGGAATTCTGTGTAACAAAAGCAGTTTTCTTTGATTCATTAATAAATTGACATTATGATGCTCATCTGTACACCTGCTGAAGGTAATTACTGTTAATAAATGCTATGTAGAGCTACAAAAGAAAACAGTTTTTCACAAATATATCTGAACGTTGCAGTTGTACTGCTCTCAGATGATAATGCTAAAATTCCAGTTAGGAATAAAGTGATTTGCTTTTTAGATGTGCTGTGTACTGTTCAATATGCTGCTTGCCTTCTTGGTGCTCTATTTGCTAATAAATTGTCGTATGTGTAAATGTGAAACAGCTTGTGACTAAAGTGATTGCCTGTGGGTCAAAGCAGTATGCCTAAGCAAAAACATTTTAATATCAGAGTTTCAAATGATTTAAGAAGTGATACTGCAGCAGAAGTTGTAGAGGACAGTGCTTGTTTGTGGCATTTCTTCCTATTGATGTTTTCCACATCATTATATCTAGGATATTGGTATATTAGGATAATATTTTTGAAGAACCAAAACTGTGTTATATTGGGACCATCTTTGTTAGTGAGTAATATCACATTTAGCTTGTTTATGTTTATTGGAGTCAAATAAACATAAATTTAATTATAGTTTCCTTTCTGTCTTTAATTACTTCAGATAAATGCAGTGTCGTTATTTCTCCTCTATTTGGTTGAGATGATCTCTTCGGGGCTGCAGATTATCTACAATACAGATGAGGTACAAATCGATTTCTGATGTTAAAACACATGCTGTATTAAGTTGCTCTTTTTTTTCCTGGTTCTACTTAATTACCAACTGTAAAATAATTGTTCTGGAAATACACTGCAGATATTCTCCACTTTTAATGGAAGTCAGAAAAGGTAAATGGAATGAATGGATAGTGAAATAAATTAATAGCTAATAAAGTGTTAGATAGGCAAAGAGTGAATGTAACATGACGTTGCAAACTTTTATAGTTCCCTGCTATTTCTGAAAGGTACAAGGTTAAGAATTAAAAGGTCTGTTAGGACAGTTAACTTCTAGTTATGTTGTTCTCACTTTTCATCTTATTTCAAACTGTCAGTCAGTGCATGCTGTCCAGTGGAATTTCAATATAATAAAGAATAGAGTTAATTTTCTGGAAAGCTGAAGGAGTTTCTTCAAATACATATGAATCTATGGGTGTTAAGACGTTTTGCTGTATCTTTAATTGAAAATAAAAAAAATTTTATCATGGTAAGAGATGTTTGTAAGATTGTTAACTGTTCTGTAAATAAGATAATAATAGCCACCATGGCCTTGACTTGAGGACAAGTCATGTCAGGACAACCTGCTGTCCTGCTCTAAAATGAGGTTATGTTTGGGGTTTTTTTTAGCTTTTTTTTCCAATTTTCTTAATCTGGTTTTGTTTAGATTTACTCTTGTCTGTTTAATAATCACTGCTGTATTGCCTTAAAAAGCTTAAATGCACATATAGTACTACCATTTTAAAAAAGGGAGATTTTTCCAGTAATAGTGTATTTGCATTATATTTCTAAAACTTACATCTTCATGAATGTTTTTTCTTTAGATAATGAGAAAACTAAGTGATGCAACTTGTCTCCTTTCTCGCTGAGTTAGATCATATGATAGGTCTATATTATTTCCTCTGAATTGCCCTTATGTCTGTGAGGAGGCAAATGTATATAATTATGTATTTACTTAGCTTGATTTATAAATTGTATTATCCTCCAGATCTTTAATTACAGAATCTGCAGAAAAAGTGCAAGTGTATAGACTCTCCAGTCAGTGGATGTTCTCCGCTTCAATGTCAGGATGTAGCTTTCATTGCAACCGTACCCTAGAAATTTGTGGACTATGGAGATTTATACAAAGATTATCTTACCACAGACCTGTACATTCTATTAGTCTCTGTATAGCTTTAACAATTGGATATATTCTAAGATCTTATTAATGCCACATAATTATGGTATTTCCAAGTTTTTCTGTGTGTCTAGATAATACTCAGCATAGTAGCATTGGCAGCACCGTGGATGTGGCAATCTGCTACCCAGACATCAAGTTGGATATTTCTTTCCAATGATACCATTGCACGACGTATTTAGCCTCTTTCCTTCCATAGAGAGAGGGTTTTGAACTAGTGCTAGCACAGTGGAAGGCGCTGGCAGATGGTTGATATTTGGCAAGCTGTCTGCATGAATATGTTTGTACACAGAACTCTTGGCTTAGGAGGCAATCATTGTATACTAGGCTGCTTGATGTCAGGCGTGGCAGCTGTCAGTGAGTTACCCTCTAGTTGCATCTGTTTGCAGTTGAAAAATTAATCGCATCTTTGCATCCGTAACGAAGGGAACAGTATATGATTGTGCATGTGAATGAATTTGAGAGCAGTTATCTACACATAAAACAGAGTAACACTAGTATTTGCAGTCATCTACACTGCATGTGTATTCTTTATTACACCTTGCTCTCCACATGCTTGACTTCTGGATAAATAAGCCTAACACACACGATCCATAATTTCTGTAAGTGCTTTAGCACTGACTTGGTTATAGCATTTACATGCCCATGATATGAAGATTTTGGTTTGCAACCAGTTATCTGCTGCCTTTTTTCTGTAAATGGGCTATTTGGAAACCTTTAGTTTCATAAAATATCTGTAATTGACCATTTTTTTTCTCTGTGTTCTGAACATCATCACTGGTAGAAAGTCATCAGTAAGGTTATTTATTTCTATGTGGTTCTCTGCTTCTTCATTTAGCTAATGCATCTAAATTTCAGTTAATGGTAGAAATAGGAGAAGCCACACTCTTAATCACTGTGTGTTCTAGCTTCATTCGGAGAAAGTTCATTTTAATACAACCAAATGCTAAATTACAGGGATGAATAATACCGGGCATATCTAAAGAGTGGGACAGTCTGTTTCCTTGAAAGTACTAGCTATGAAAAGATTTAGTGTACAGATAATTGTACATGAGCACCCCATAGTGAAATTTTAGCAGAGGCGTATATAGAGAGACAAGTAAGTATAGAACTATATCTATCGCTGGTGGACTGGTATTAGCATAAAGGGTGTATCTGAAATAGTAACATTTTTAAGATTTAAAGAAAAATTGAGAGAAAAAGACAAAACAGAGATATGCAGGTAAATTAAAATGGAAGCAAATACCTTTCAGTAAAAGATTTGTTTTTTATCTGATAGCTCATTTTAAAAAAAAAAAAAAATCACTTGACTGTAGTAAAGTGGATCCTCCTCTGTAGTTCCCCAGTATGGTTGTGTTTATAGCCGTTGCAATATTCTCTTTTCCCACAGAATCCCCTAGAATAATTTGAATGGGAGGGGATGAAATCCCTGCTTTGGTGGATGAACCAGTGTAAATCTTGTGTTTGTGGTTAAATTTCCTGTAAGTTCTAATCTGTGGACTCTTTGAGGTGAACTGTAAAATTTATCATCAATGTAACTTCCCTACAATTGAGCAACTCCAAATGTCTCTTTCAACAGTGTAAATGAGGAAAAACTATCTGCTTAAATAAGTCCGCAGCTATAGTTGAATACCCCTAAAATACCTTAAATACCTTAAAATACCCTTAAATACCTTATAGTATTCAGTTGAAACATGTTGATCCAAGAGGAGATTTTAATTACAATAAATTGGTTCAGAATTTTATTTGTGTTTATAAAGGAGTGTGTTTGAATCTGCGTAAGTATGTATTATCTGGAGCTAGTAAAATAAAACTTTGGCATATCAATTCTGTTAAAATGAATTAAGAAACAGCACCAAGATTTCTGTGTCCTAATCATGTAGGATTTAATTTCTTTTGCTCTCTGATGTTGTTTGTAGGACAAATCTTTTTTAGAAGATCCAAATACCACCTTTTTGGAGCTCTTCAAATATGTGTCATGAATATGAAATCATTTTTATCCCTGGCTTTGTAGGAACTTCTACATAAATCACATCATCACCTAATTTGGGACAGATTAAAAACTGGTTTTAAAGAGACTATCTGAACTTGGGAACATCATTCTCTGGGGCGGGAAGGATAGAAGGCACAATTATGATGGCTGAGGAAAAACAACTTTGTCTTTTTGAAAAAATGAACAAAAGAAAGTATGCGTTCATTTTCCTTCAGTCACCTTTCTCTCCTTCTCGCCTTCTCTCGCCTTCTCTTTCTTTCTTTCTTTATTATAGGTGTCCTTCATTCAAAATCTTGTGTTTTGCGTGGAAAGAGCCTATCGTGTACCAGATTTTGGTGTCTGGGAAAGAGGAAGTAAATACAACAATGGCAGTCCAGAGCTGCATTCAAGGTAGGTGAGCAAATGTAGCTCTTTCAGTCAAATGTAAATGCAAGTAAATGTGATATGAATAAAAAGAATTCATGGGGTAAGTTAATAAAAATAATGCATTAAAATACTGTTTGAACTAAATTAAGGTTCTCTAAAGACTGAGAGATGTATTTTGGGAAAGTGTGAAGCATAATTTCATCATCATATGCATGCTGAAATAACCGCATAGATGCTTAGCTATTTGGGTATTCAAATTCCAGTAATTATGTGCAGCTGCATGCATATAATTTTGAAAATTGTGTTCAGAACAGTTCAGACTCTTGAGGCACGTGCATTAGATTGGATTCACAAAATGTTTAGGAATATCCTGATTTAAGAACGTGTTGAATCACGAGTCTGGATTTTCTCATCTCCCCCATGCTGGGAGGAAGATGCTGGACACTGTGGAGGATAGCCTAGTACACAAGTTCTTTTCCAGGTTCTTCAGATGCTACAAGTAACGGCATTCTGACCACTGTCCCGTGAGACAGTTAGGAATGCCTTCAACATTTTATTGTTAGAGTGGTCCGGTTCACTTCAGTGGAACTGTTCACATGCTGTCTATCTTGAAGGATCAAATCTGTAATCTGACAACTTGCTTTTTCTAGCGTTACTATTGTTTTCTTCACTTTTTGACTTCTGAGGTTTTATTAATCAAGAACGGCTATAGCTTGGATATCGTAGGATTTTTAAAATATCATTGATCATCATAATTATCATGGGCTTGCAAATAATACACGTGTTTCTTCCAGGCATTGATGTTGCCAAATGAATCTGTGTTCTCATTTTAGAATGAAATAATTTTTCTTAGTTCACATACGGGCATGTATTTTAAGCTATAGATAAATTACATGTCATTGCAGCAAAACAATTAATTTAGGTATGTTTTTTTCAGGGCTTTTGTAGAGCTTTAGTACCAGTATGAGAACTGAAATCTCCAAGTTGTTATTATATAATCTGCTTGATTAATTTGTTGGGTTTTTTTTCTTCCTCCTATGCCTGTAAAATTGTCAAATGCCAGATTACATGAGCGTTCACTTAGAGAATCATATACTTCCTTCCGCATCTCACCTTGCACAAATTTGCAAATGGAACACTGAAACTCCCGTGTCTCCTGTTGTTTGCAGCATTGTGGTTATTCAGTATGTGAATTTCCTCTAGGGAGAACTGAACATCTTTTAACCAGATGGAAATGGGCATGTTGTCTTGCCTTAATCTAGACTGACATTTATAGGTTGGTTTTTCTAAGGGTGAAGTTTTATGAGATGGACTGAGCCAAACTAACAGATCATTGAGCTGGCACAAAAGTAAGTACAGAGCTTGGTCCTAATTTAAGAAGTAGACTTTGGTCATCAGAAACAGGTATTGCCCCTATTTATCTTTCCTTGCGTGCATGTTGATGCTCTGCTTCACTGTAGGAAGCCAGTAGACAATTTCCCTTGTTCTCCTAAATAAAAAAAAAAAACAGAAGAGGGACATGCATCAGAAGATGTATTTAGATATTATTGAGGAAAGCCCTGGGTACACTAAAATATTCTCTAGACTTTGTTATGCTCCTATTATAGTGTATCTACTGAAGAGAGCTCTAAAAAAAATTCAAAAAAAATTCAAGAAGTGATTATAACTAATCAGGGCTAGTCACGAATGATGTATGTCTGTCTTCAGTGATTACGGACTCCAAACCAGTTACTTAAGTTTCAGTATTAAGTATGCTGTACTCCTGGCACTTACAACTCACACTGTAAGTCTACATACAGTGTGTGTTTGCTTTCAGAATTAGAAGTTAATTCTTGTCTTTTGTTGAAAGAGGCTTTCTTTTTAAAGAAGATATTATATAGTATGAAGTCTGTGAATAATAACTGCAAATTATGGCCTGTGTTAGAAGATGCAGATATTTTAAGTCTTTACACAGTCTTGGTATTCAATCTTAGTACAGTCCAAAACACTTCTAATAAATGATAAATAGCGAAACAGTCTGTGGACCAGGTCTTCACTGATGTATGCAAATTGATGTCTTTTACTAGTTCAAAGGCAAGATTTGTAACAGCTTTTATTATAGCGTGATCCCCTTCCCATACGGCTGAACTTCTGAAAAATTAATTTGTCCTGTAACCATTTGATCAAGCTGTTCTCCAGGCATCTGCTGAGTACCTCTGCAAAATGTCTTTGACATCTCCCATATGTACTGTGAGAATAATGAAGTTGCTGAAGTGCAGTGTCTTCATATTCCAAATCTAAGACTGTAGAGCCTTGATCTTGCTCTTCTCTGTAGTGTAGGTGTTATATTGCTATAGCGCAGTCCTTCCTTGTTCTATTGTGTTTTGTCTAGTTATGAAATTACTATTATTGTGGGATTGTTTTTTGTTTTGTTGTTTGGGGTTTTTTTAACATCCCGTGTGGTGTTTGATGTTCCAGTTGAACCGCGCTGTTCTTGGGTGGAGGCAAGAAACTGTGAATGGCAGGAGGATTAAGGATGTATATGCTTTAAGGTGTGTTTTGATTAGCAGTTGCTAAGAATATGCAAATTTTAGTGTTTGCCCTCAGGTATGTTACTGAGAGGGTAAATCTAACAATTAAAAGTTACTGGGAATTAGCAATGACGTTTTAAGTGAATTTACTAATGCTTTTTTAGCAAGCTGGAAGTATAATTTCTCTAGGTCTCAGCTTCCCCTGCCCCAAATGTGGATCAAGGTCAAATGTTACCCGTAGCATTATGATTGCAAGACTGCTCTTGATAATCTGTGGCAAATCACAATAGTCAGCGGCTACAGTAAGGTCTACAAATTGCACCTGGGGAGGTTCAGTATGGACATCAAGAAACCACCTTTTCACTTGAAGCGCAGTAAGCACCAGAGCAGGATACTCAAAAGGAGTTATGGAATCTCCATCCTTGGAGGTTTTTGAGACTTGTCTAGATGAGGCTATGGTTTACTTGAATCAGTCTGGGTTATTGTATCTGGCTTCAAGTGAGATTTCATGTTGGACTGGATGAGTTCTATCTGCCCCTTCCAACCAATGACTTTATGATCCTGTGAAATTTTCAGAGGAATATTTAAAGAGGATTTGGGTTAGGCTTTGTTTTGGGGCCATCTACAAGTAAGCATCTTTTTCTCTGGGTATAGAGTCCATCAGGTTAACACAGCATGTTCATAGTGGGTTGCTGAGTGAAGGAAGGAACATATTTATTAAAATACATTTTGCCTTTAATTCATACTGTTAAAACAGTCCATTTTTTCCATTATTGAATTGTAGAGTATGAAGAATGTATTTTCTGTAGAAAGACATGAGCATAATGTTTATTATAAAACCTCTTTTCTAATTTGCCCAACAGAAGGGCATTAATCAGTAGGAATGAAACAAGTGTCTGAAGCGTGATCATAGTTCTGAAGTGTGTTATGTTGTGATTGTTCAGTCTTTTGAAGACATCCTTGATACTACAGCTGTTCTCAGACTTCCCCCCCGCCCCCCCCAAGGAACTTCCTCCTGTCAGTTACCCATGAAACTTGTAGTAATCTAAGTAGTACTTGTGTGTATGGTGAAGGAAATGCTTGATATACCATTGTAATGTGAAGAAATACTACATGACGGGGGAAAGAAAGCAGTATTTCAATGTTGAGACATTTATATTTTCATTTGCAAGTAATATTTGTGAGAGTACTGAAGTCTTCAGGGACTTTGAACAACTAGAGGTAGAAAAATACTGATCAATTACAGTAAGTACTATTCTAATTGTAGAATAATGACTGAGTATGTAAAATAGAAATGATTTCAAGGAAGGAATCCATATTTGTCTTCAGTTTTTTTCAAGCAGTATCATCCTATTTTGTAGATAGAGTGAGTAGTTTTACATTATCTGAATACCAGCGGTTGTTGCTGTTGAACAACTGTTGCTTCTCTACCTTTTGTCAGTAACTTTTTTTCCTGCTCTGAAAATATCTGACTGTTGGTATTAGAAGTGTTATTTGGAAGGGAAAAGAAGAGTATGAGATTTTAACATGTGATACAGATCTCAGTGTGCAGGATTTCTCTGATTTTCATTTTCTATGTATGCAGTTTGATAATAATACTTAACTCCTATGAAAAGTTCTGTTCTGAGCCATCAAGCCAATTTGTTTGATCAATTGCTGGGTGATAATTAAAATAGCAATTGTTAGAACAATTACATTTTTGTTTAGATATTTGAAACAAAGCCAGAAAAATAATTATATTCACAACACTTCTGACTTCAGTTTATTCCTTCATCACATTCTCCAGTACCAAAAGCTTTCATCAGCAGAAGATACCGAAACTGAGGGATTTCACCACTGTTTCATGGCAGCTGCTCAGAGCAGAACTTAGTTAACCTAATCAGCTTTCTCTTGTTGAACCAATTAGAATTAAATCCCACGAGTACTATTTCTGGCAATGTTTCAGAAAGACAGACGGAGGTTTATAAACCTGTTGGTAATAGTTAAAAAGAATGACAGAGTCTGAAATCAGTGTCTAAAGTACTTCTAATATTAAAACCAACCCAGGTAAAACAGGACTTAAAGTAAACACATTCCATAACTCTGCACTGAATTTTTTTCATTATTTTCAACATTTTCTGTGTAATCATAATCGGCTCCCATCTTTAAAATATGGACTAGTTAGTAAACATTCAAAATTGGATATTTTACATGAATAAATAGTATAAATCAGTTTATTTACAGTAAGGTAAAAAGTTAGCTCTAATCCCAAAATGCCTCATAGAGTATAGAAGAATTAAGGTTAAAGCATAGTCCCCGTTTGCAGTTTTCTGGCAATTTGGTTGCTACAAGTTTTTTGGGCCGGATAGTGCAGTTGTTTGTCAGTACTATCACAACTCCTCTTACACAGAAGCTGGGGATTATTAGTGATTATTTTCTGAATATTTTTTCTAACTCAGTGTTGCTTCACTGATTATTTTATAAACAAAATATCTAGGGCTGTCCTGTTCAGAATGTGCATATTCCTAACTGTTGTTAATTTTAGTATTTCCCTGCAAGTGGAGTGCGGCCCTCAGAGTCTTAAGGATACTTTAATTTTTCACAATCATGACTATCTCTCTGTCAATGTTGTTCTCGTGTTATCTGGGCACATGGATCCTCTGATAAACGATTTTTTTTTTCATTCTTGGTTTTGGCAGTACTGGGTAATTTTTATCCCAAATGAAAGATGGCAAGAAAAAGGAAAGTGTGGTTGGCTGAGTGGATAATCAATTTTAGAAAAAAAAGGATATAAACTTTTAACTCCTTTTTTGTCCTTTTTTTTAAAGAGAGTATTTCAAGGAATTACTGTGCTAATAAATAAACTGTTAAATTAATTGGTATATTCAGTTTTCCCCAGACTTTTCCCAGTTCTTAAAACTTAAGACTTTTCAAGCATCTATAGCAGTGTAGATATTTAAGAGAGTTCTTTTTTTGTTTTGGGTGGGGTTTTTTTGTTGTTGTTTTTTGTGTGTGTTTAGTTTGGTTTTGTTTTTCTCCAAATTTGTGTATTGTACCCAGTTGGAAGGAACACGGTAGCTGCATCTAAATGGTTGTTAGCTGAGGACAGCATCAACAACCTCCTCTCCCTTATAGGAAGGCTTCATGGAAAGATGAACCTTTCAGTTCTTCTTTCCACTGATTTTTATCTTGCTAAGGTTTGAAGCTTTCTTCCTGCAGTGTTGATCTATGTCCTTGTACTATGTTCTGTCACTTTCATTTACCCTTACGGTCTTTTTTTAACTCTGAATCTTTTGTAATGTCAGCCTGATTCATTCTGCTTTCTCCTTTTTCAATCTTTTGCTACATGTCTTCAGATTTGTTAACTTTTAAAGATAACAAGGTAGACATCTATACTTTCCTGTTATTCTGCTGTCTTCCTTTTCTATTGTCTCATTTATAGTCATTTTTTGACTAAAAATATTTCAAATTAATTATGAGCTACTTGGAAAGCAGAGCTCCTATCTAAAGGAATGGGCAGTTAGGGAGAAAGATGAAACTTGATTCTGCAGGAAGAGCGTCTCAACGGGGACAGATATTTAAGGATAGCACATAGGGTGTCAATGAAGTCAATAAATCACTGTTGTAGTTTATATAGAAATGAAGCAGAGACAGCTAAAGATGCATTGGTCGGAGGCGCTGTAGTTAAGTGGAGACAAAGGCGTAATTTAAAGTTTTAGTTTTATGAATAAAAGTTGGAAGAATTACGGTAGGCTTTGTTTTGCAGGATGCTCTGAATCTGTTTTACCAGATAGCCTAAGAGAATATAAAAGGTGTTTGTTTTATTAGCTAGACTTCTGTAGTATTTCTAGTTCCTATACTTTTATGTCACCACTTAGTAAGCAGTCCAAAGTCCTTTCCCTACTTTGAATGCTTGTATTCGATAGTAGAACTGTCAGAAATCTGGTACTGTTATATATTACGTTTTTAAACTCTAGCACTGTTGGGAACTAACTCGTTTAATATTTTACTTTTTGATGCCCTGTGACCTTAACATTTAGAATTTTGGAATGAATGTGCAAAAATTTAGCATTTTGTGTGTATGTTAATGCTTTAGCTCTTTATTGCAGTTGAGTGGACGCATGTGAAGTTGGCCTATCTATAATTATGTATTTTTTAAAACGGTATTTCGAAATTCTGCCCTCTGTCATACTTCAAATTTCATATAAACCTGTCAAATGCATGTAGAGTTCTATTAGTTTATCTTAATAGTCACAAGTAAAGGCTAAGACTACATTTTTTTAAATGAAACAGCCTTGTAAAAGTCTTCTTGTATATATTTTTATATGCACTGTATAATTTTCATAATCAGTAATAAATTATGTTTTCTTATATAATTTGATTTAAAAATTATATAATGACTAGTGATTTTGGTAGATACGACTAGTGCTTAATATCTTTAAACATGAACTTGCTAACTTGAAAGCTTGTTGGTAGTATTTCTGGGTCTTGTTTTCTTTGTGATGGATACTAGTCATGGAGTAAGTGAAATAAAAGACTTTTCACTATATGGTTGACATCAGAAAATCCTCCTTTTCTGAATCCAGATTGATGAGTTCTTTTACTATATCGAAAGCTAGTCAGAAATCAGTCTTTTATAGTTTAATGCTTGAGAGCTGGGTTGAAAAATTGTGCTGAAGTAAATCCTCTGTTAATACACTATTAGCAAGACCTTGAAGTACATAATGCCAGATGTCTAGTAGCAAGGTGAGAGCAGTAGTGCTTTTTCCAGATGGTGTCTGACATTTGAAGACAAATAAAAATGCTGAAAAGTATTTAAAAAAAAAAACCAACAAAAATCCACCACCAAACAACCCCAAATTTGCTGCATCATCATTTTATTGACATAAAGGTTAAGCACAAAATTCAAATCAAGAAAAGATCACAGCTCTGAAAGCTGTCAAATGTGTTAAATTTTAGTCTGGGCTTGAATTAATGATACCTCTGTTTTTTTGTTGTTTTTTCCTCAGCTCCGTGGGGCTGGCAAAAGCAGCTTTAGAAGCAATTAATGGCTTCAATCTCTTTGGAAATCAGGTAATAAAAATGTTTGTTTTCTCTCCTTTTTTGTAGCAGTAATGATTGTTACTGCTAAAGAGGCTATTTAGAAATATTTAGCACAGTCTGTTAGATTCTAGCTTTAAAAAAAGTTCATTTGCAAACTGATTGCTCCTGTTTCAGGTACAGAATTCGTCTGATAAAATTATTAGTGCCCTTACTATCAAGAATTACTTTTTTTCTTTAAAAAAAAAAAGTAAAATGAGTGCAGCTTATTCTGAAAATGGACTTGGTTGCCAAAAAGGTTTTTCTTTCAGAATTTTCTCTGTTGATCATAATACAGTATACCTCTACCCTCAAGCATTACCTTACTTCTGTCTTCTTCCTTCATGTGGCTTTTGATCAAGACGTTAAACAGGCTACTTGACTTGTATTCCCCTTCTACGTGCATCTTTTTTTGGGTGTTACACCTACAGTAGTCTGTAGCTAAAATAAAAGCATGCTCTTCCAAATTAATGGTCTAGAAAATTTACATGTCGGGTTTTAATTTCAATATGTTGCATAGTGGTAAAATCTTTTCTTTTCCCATCCTTTCACATGGTTTGGATCAATTAAGAAAGCAAGCCTTATCTTAGAGTCTTATCTCCTGACTTGTATTCCCCTTCTACGTGCATCTTTTTTTGGGTGTTACACCTACAGTAGTCTGTAGCTAAAATAAAAGCATGCTCTTCCAAATTAATGGTCTAGAAAATTTACAAATGGAAGAGATACGTCATTGTCAAGCTATTGGTATTATTAATGAATGGAAATGAAGGGTAGGGAGTGCAGCTAAAAAGGCAGTTGGATAGCATCAAGTGTGTGTAGAAATACTTAGAAAACTTCCTGGTGAGTTTTGTCTGTAAATTGTGTGGAAGGGAGGATAGGTTGGTCAAGCCACGAAGTGGTGAGCTCAGTACGCTAAGTAAAGCTTTCCATATTGCACTGTTTTCTTGGAAGCTTTCATCCTTTTTGACTTGTAACTGATGGACCTTGCTCGCATGCCCAAATGTCTGTATTTCATAAGAAGTGAACATTAATCAAAGAAACATGCTTTATCTCTTCTTTAGGGTTGGGTGACAGTTGAAACTTCATTCAAAAAATAACATGCGTTTACATGAGTAGCTTATTTTTAAACTTACAAAGCTTTTTCTGCAGCTAGGCGGTATATGATCCTTTTGAGTTTTAATAATTTTATATTGTGACCTTGACTTGAAGTACTATTTGTATATTTTTTGAGTAAAGTTTCTGTATATTCTCACTGGCTTCAAGATAGGATTTTTTGCGTTTTTTCTCTTTCTGTAGTACCTGTGCTCTCCTTTTGTCTTGTAAGTCAGATGGAGCTGACTTTCAGATTGTGATGCTTGTCTGTTTCAAATATTCAACTTTAAGAAACTTGGTTAAATGCACTGATTTGCCCTAAAGAAAATAGTACAAAGGAGAGAAGATATAAATGGTAAAATGGTAAATGGTGAATAAGGGGAATTTTCAGGTGCTCTTTGTGTAAGCTAATGTGTATAAGCTAGGTCAACTGTAAAAGTGTGACTGGGAGACAGTCCAAATTACGTTCCAAGTTCCTTTCTGTACTGCTTGATTTATTAAAACATGCTTATTTATCTGTGTCTCCATTTTTCTATTGGTAAAATGGAAGGTATGGATCGGAACAGTCATATAAAATAATTATTAGCACTATTGGAGAAAATGTTCTGCCTTATAGTTTATTCACCTGAAAACAACTGTTAAACTAAAATTCATTAGAGCTATTCATATGCCTGGGATGAAAAATATAACTTACAATTTGTTTTAAATAGTGAGCAACTGACATAGAAGTACGATCTATTAAACAATCTTACCTATTGATGAAAAGCTATACCACCTACTATTATTAGACCCTTCTTTGTCTTACGGCATAAAACACGAGATCCTCCTGAACAAGGATTTCTGACTCTATAGACTTAAGCATCCATTACATTTTTTGTGGATATCTCTTCATGGTGGGTTCTTTTGTTTGTGGGGGTTTTTTTGTGGTTTTTTTGTGGTTTTTTGCATCTATATATTTGTACTAGTACTGTAGTACAATAGACTTGTTCTGTTTAGAATCTTCTACTCAGGAAATATTGATGGCTGTTTGCTGATGAGTGGAGAAGTATGGAAGTGCTCTTTATGCATACACAAATACACTGTTTCAAAAAGACTTAGCCATTTGGTCTAGTTTTGGTTTACTTTACGTATGTTTTAAGAACTGGTGTTATGTGTTAAGAACCAGGAGCTAGTAAGGATCTTAAATAATGATCAGACATTATACACACATTGTCAGTATTTCAGAAAAAACATTTATCTACAATCTTTACCATCCCAACAGTCTCGAGCACCAGTAAATGCGCCTGCTGGATTTTTTCCAAATGATTTTTTTACTAAATTCTGAAATGGATGAATAAATTGCTGAAGCAAAACCAGTTTAAATGCTTTGAGAGTTTAATTCCAAGATACTTAGCATAAACAGAAACCATTTTGACCTTCAGTCTGCGGCAGAGTTTGCCTTTGTGCTTGGCTCCAGCAGTGTTCCAATAGCTTTGAGAAAACCTGCTGAGCCCCTGGAGAGGAACTTGTTTGCACCTGCAACTACACTAGTGCAACCTGCATAAATCATTGCTGGGGACAACAGACTGCTCAGCCTTCCCATGCAGATTTTTCCACTCATACTGTGGATGCTGGAAGAGACTAATAAATACAAGTATGTAGTATTGTAGCTGTGCTCTCACACGTGCATGTGTGTTATATATCTTTGACTATATCATGATAGGGCAGTTTCCCTGTGCAATCATGGATGCACCCTGAGAAGACAAAATAAAGGTCACTTACTGTTGATACTCACATTAAACTGTTCCTTCCCTCCCTCCCCGAATTCTAGAAAACATTAAAAAAGAATGTATTTCTGTAAGAAATCATACTACTTTTTGTTCTGTAACAAAGCACTGCTTAACTGATGTTCAGATAATTTTAATGCACCCTTTGCTATACTTTCTAGGTGCCAGATACAATAAAGAACAATTATGAATTGAAAAATGATTGGCTTTTTGTTTAATCTGAATTTTACATGCTTTAATGTAAAAAGGAGTTCATTCATGGTTTTTAAATGCTTTTCATTTTCATCTCCATCATACCAAAAGTATTTCATAAAAAGTGGGAGTTAACAAGCATAAAAATACAGTCAAGCTGTAATCCTAACGTTCCCTCAGTAAAAGATTTATTTACACATTGAGAAGAGAATTTTTAATATAACAATAAGCTATATAATTTCTCATTATTTTGCTTTATATCCTACGCTAAATTTCTTAAATTTATTCCCAATGTATTGTATGTCTCTGAAACAATAGTTATAAATCTATATGAAGTAGTTAATATGTATGACATTGGCATAAGAATTCTGTTATAATCCTTAACTGTGCATTGATCGTAGCTAGATCCTGAAATCATTGTATCATCCTCAGTTCTGCTGAAGTTTGTATGGAAGAACTGTAAAAGTGGGCCTGATTTTTACATTTAGGATGCAGTGTGAACTGATTGCGTTTCAGTTTATGGTTTTATTTAATCACTTTAGAATCATCACTACTGAAAGTACTGTAACTTAATTTATCTTTTTGTGGGCTCGATATGCTTAACCCAAACCTCTGGTTTCAGAGTATCACAGAGTATAAATAGCTTAGAATTTGTATCATTAATGTAAGAATTCCATTTTAGCTACAATACCTTTTAGAAAAAATTACATATCGGCAAAAAAATTACGTAAGAGGACGTGCATTTACTGGCAATGTGAGTTAATGAACTAATGAATTAAGTGCATGGTGCATGCACGTATGCACTAAAATGGGACTGCTAGCGACAAGATGAACACCGTTTCAAGTTTGACCTAGTCATAGTGTAATCAATTGTTTGTATGAGAGCTACATGTGCAGTATTAGTTTGTGGAAAAAAAAATATGTTAAAAAAAAAATCAAGCCTTTGTAAGGTGTCCTTACGACAGAACCTTACAATCTTTAGGGAACTGAAAAATCGTACATTTGTAGAATGAGGTGCTTGTGGGTTTATGAAATGCAAATTAGTCTGCTTTTGAATCCCCAAAGAATCCTTTACTGAAGCATAGATTTTGAAAGTGCATGTTCACATGTGTAGACAGATTGTGTTCAGAGTTTGTAGATGAATTTAGAGATTTGTGAATAATCAGAATCTGGATTAAGAAGAAAGTAGGAGAATAACAAATCATCAAAGCAAATGTGATTATGTACGTTCTTATCTCAGCACTATTCGGTGTATCTTGCTAGAGTGATTAAGAGAACAGAGAGATTATTTTCCATGAGGACGGTGGAAAAACATGTTTTGTTTAGCCTAGCAAAGCAAAAGCTGAGTATTTGTATGATAGCTATATATAATTAGAGTGTGGGTAAAGAGTAAGTAAGACAAAACCTCAGTTGTTTGGAAAGCCAAATGAATGGGTGCTAGTACTGGCACAAAAAGAAGGGTGGTTAGCTAGTTATGTAGAAACTTAGTTGGAAATTGAAGTTTTTAATATTTAGGGAGGGTGGGTTCTAGAACAGTCTTCCTAAGAGAATAGTATACCAAAGAAACTGCTTTTTAGGAGAAATTTGGTGAATTTATGAAAATTTATGGTACAGTATGTATGACAGTAATGGAATGAGTTCAGTGTTGAATGTGTCTTCCAATGGGATAGTGATATTGAGATTCATTATCAATTACAACATATATGAAGATATCCATTCATTAACAAACTGTATTGAGTTTCCAAGAAATTGCCTACCGATAATACTTTTAAGTGCTATTGATTCTGTTTAAACAGTATCTCAGGTATGGGAATTTTTCTGAGTGTTTCAGGAAGTATCACAAAGCTGACAGAGAGAGAGAGAGTGTACAATTACAGAATTTTACTAGGAAGTGGGTTTTGCTAAGGAGTAGATGTTGATAACATAGACCTTACAATAGCTGAAAAGCAGGTCAGTTTTATTTGCTATGGAAGTCCTTTCCCAAAGCAGTACCTCAGGTGAATATCCCATTATTTGTGTTCTAACTGACTTGTAATGAAATATGCAACATCGCTATTTGGAACATTTCCTGCAGTCACAGGGAGGGACGACTACTTTTTTGTTTGTCCTTAATACGGTCATTGTTTTTCAAGAATTAAGGGAAGGGTTCATAGCTTGCATGAATCTCATAATTCGTAATCACTAATTGATAAAACCATCTAATTTTGGCTATATTTAAATAAGTTTGAAAATTCAAAATGTTTTCAACTTGATGTTGAGGTACATTTTCTGATTAAAATTACCAGCTACCAGACTATTACAACATAACCTACATAAAACAAAGAACCAGTTAGTTTCACCAGGATATGCTAACCTTTCTTCCCTTTCCCTTAAATAAATTTCATGTTCTGTTTACAGGGTTGCTCTTGGTCTGTTATATTTGTGGATTTTGATGCCCATAACCGTAACAGACAGACTCTCTGTTCATTGCTACCTCGAGAGTCAAGGTCTCATGTAAGTAATTAAATGAAATTCACCTCAACAGAGTGTGGAGAAAATAAATGAATATGAACATAGTTCTTAGTTCTGTGATGGCCATTACGTTCTGCTTAATAAAGATAGGAATTTGCTGGGAAGATGTTAAATTTCTGCTTCTTAAATGTCACTGTGATGTAGTTTCTCTGAAGTAGAATTGTGATGGCGTTCTTTATTTTGTGAGTATTTAGGTTAAAACGGTAGCCTGTTGGTAGCTTTCTAAACAATTTTAAAATAAAATTTAAAATAATAATGATCTGCAGTAACCTAAGTAGGGTTTGCAGTCTTGGTGATTGTCTTTCTTTTGGCCTAGTTTCCACTATACACTCAGTGCCTGCATTTTTGAAACACACTATTTTAGCTTTAATTCATTCTGTTGTCTTGAAAAGAAGCCTTTAAGGTTGGCTTTTCATAAATCGCTGAATATGGAGGATTTCTTGTTATTATAAGCTACTGTTACAAATCAGTATTTCCTCAGTGAGTAAATCTAAGTGACTAAAGAACAGATTAAATTAAAAAAAAAAAATCTATTTCAGTACTAGCATCAAAGGTAAATTTGAAAATCAGTAATTCAAAATGAGTGATAATAGAGTTCTACTGCTTTTTTGTTCGTTCTGGGATATAATAGCATTTTTGTTCATGAAACAGACTATTAATCTTCAACGTTAATAGTTTACTCGTGTAGAAGAATTATAGCAGAGTTGTTATACTGGATAATTAAAATGAAAGGCACTGTCAGCTACTTTTTAATAGTCTAATGGTCTTTTAGAACTCTTGCTGTTTAGTATTTGCTGGAGACTTGAAATATTCCAACAGAAGCTGGTTTCATAAGTTACTTATGCTATAGAAGCAATCTTTGTGTCCTTTTTTTTCCTTTTATGGGTTCACATCAATGATATTGGCAAAAATACGGTATTTTAAATGGTTGAATATCTTAGATATATCAGCAGAAAGGAATAACAAAACAGTGCGTGACAAGAATTATAACTTAAAACTACTTTTTTGTGTTTCTGTAAGCTTACCTGTAGTGGTGATGCACTAGTTAGTAGTTTTTCTTGTGTTTTTAATTCATGATAGTTGCACATGGTTCTTGAGAAATGCTACTCATTTTTTTTCCTGAAATTATTCCTTTATTGCCTTAATTGTAAATCAGATAGGCTTGTTTGTTACAGCACCTGAAGAATATTCCTGAAAAAGCTTTTCAGAAATGACGATTTAATCACAGTTACTTCTCAGCATTGCACCTTTATAAAATGTTTGTGATTCTTTTTGAACATAGGATACCCAAATGTTTGTGTTTCCTCCAGGAATAACCTGGAGGATATTTTTTGTTTCTACAACCACAAAGTTCTAGAATGTATTCACTTATCCCTGCAGATTATCAACAGATTTTGAGTCAAATGAGTTCTCTTTTAAATCATATATCCGAATATTGGGTTTGGAGTTTATCCTTCTACATCTTTAGAAGTGTTATTTTGCACACTATTTTAACATCATAGTACTATGATTTTGATAAAGATAAAATAATGTTCCAAATGTATATTTCACTTAGTAAGTTAAACAGTCTTTGTTTGTTCATCAAATAATTGTCGGAGATCAAATTAAATTTGTAATGCGCTATTTCGCCCTCTCCTTCTACAGAATACTGATGCAGCCCTTTTGCCCTGCCTTAGTTATCCTGCATTTGCTTTGGATGATGAGGTTTTGTTCGGTCAAACACTAGATAAAATTATTAGAAAATTGAAAGGAAAATATGGATTTAAAAGATTTCTGAGAGATGGGTACAGAACAGCGCTGGAGGACAAAACACGACGTTATTATAAACCAGCAGAAATTAAGGTAAAGAAATACCTGGCCTATATAAGGACAAATTTTGGTTTTCTGAAATGTTTAGGCAGTACTTAAAAAAAAAAAGCCAACAAAACCAACAAACCCACAACAAACCAACCAACCAAAAAAATAACCAAAATAAAATCCCCCCAAAAAACCCAAAAGAAAAGAAAACGGAAACGGACATCCCCCCCGCCCAGTATTTGCAATTTGAATTGCACAGTGATTCCTAATTGCTTCAAGTGAAGGAGATGCATTTTGTAATTTGGCACGTGCAGTTTTGAGAGATTGCTAAGTCAGCAAGTTCGTCATTGATTTGTTTTGTAATGAATGTGCTTCCATTTACATTTAGGGTACAGTTGATTTCACATAACAAATAAGGGAGTTATCATTTTATTTAATTTCACAGCTGACTACAGTCTGAGGGTATAGAAAACAATTTTGCTTTTGACCACAGTGTTTATCAGTAAAGGTCATCTAAATGAAAATTTACTTTTTTTTCTCCGCAATAGTTTCTCTGTGGAAAATAAAATATAGATTATATAAATATTCTGCTTGAGAATGAGCCACAGCATATGTAAAAGCACAGTTAAAGTGCCCATAGAATTAAGAAGCTGTGAGCTAAATGAAAAGCTGATGTATTAAAATGTTTTTGCATTCATGTTTGTCTTTTGTTGCTTTGAAATTATTCAATAGGATATTCAAATACCTTTCCTTAAACCAAAATGATGAAATGTCTGTTTAATTTTTCTTCTTTTCAGCTTTTTGATGGCATTGAGTGTGAATTCCCTCTGTTTTTTATTTTCATGATAATTGATGGTAAGTACAGCTTTACATTCCTGTTCTTTAAAGGCATTAGAGAGATGAGCCCTTAGAGGAAAGACATAAAATGACTTTCCTGTCCTGCCAAAATAAACCATAATGCGGTGACACTAAATATCTCATTGAGAGTTCTGCCTCATGGGTTAATAAAAAAACCCAAGCACCCAACCCCCCACGTTTCAGCATTTTTAGCGTGACCTGTTTTTAGAATATAACTCGATACAGGTTTTTTAAAAGCTTGAATCTGTGACATTCAGCCCTGCATTGCCTTTTAAGCCTTAAAATCTTCCACAGTATATCAGAACTTCACAGCAGCACATGAGAGAAAAGGAAGTGGAAGAGAGAACACTGACAAACTGAATGCTGCAGCAGGCCTTTTCAAGTTGGATATTCTGTGGTAATTGAAATAGAATTCAGAAGAGAAGAAAGCGAACCAGAAGAGGCCTAGTTTCTCTTTGAAATGCCTGTGCTTCCTGGCCACATTTTTCCACGTAGCCATTAGTCTGATTTAAAAAAGAGAACAAAAAACCCCAACGACAGCAACAAAAATAACACTACCTAGACCTTGTCTTGAGGATAGGAGACATACCAAAAAAGTTCACGGCATGATTTCAGGATAGAAGCTAAAACTCACACAGAACAAAAGTCTGAGTAAGAAAATGAGTAAGGGTTACAGCCGTCAAAAAGATTTGTAAATGGTTGAAAATCTGGCCATCTGTTTTTTTTCCCTTTAGTGTGTGGAATAGTTTTCAAATAAGGATGGTGAGGGGCATAGAGATCTGCCAGCTGCTTAGACTCCTCTGTGGCCACCCACAGATTAAAATATTTTGTTTGAAGATGTAAGAAGGTTTCAGAATTGTTTTTTCTAAAGGAGTGCTTGACATTTTTCAGAGAGCGATGTCCAAAACTGAGGAGAAAGGCACTGACATTTAATGCTGCCCACTTGCAGTTTGGGAAGAACGAGAAAGAAGTGGTCTTTAACTGAAGTTAGCAGAAGAATAAAGAAAGCAATTTACTCATCTTGTATTACAAAGAAAAAGTACAAAATACGTATTTTGCACATACCGTCCTTGTCTTTTTTCCTGTACCGCAATTTCATCAAATAGAACAATTCTATTAGTAGATTTTATGCACATATCTCCAAATCCACAAGCTTCCTTAGTGCAAAATTTGAAGCGTATTCAGAGCAACTTAAACTGCAAAAAGACAATGAAATAGGAGGAGGAGTAGATTACAGTTGAATGTCTTTATAATGAAAACGTTGAAAAAACCTCAAGCTGCTACGTTGTGAATACTGCTTCAGCTGGAAGCCTATTGGCCCATCCAACACACTGGCAGAGTACAAAGCAAAGCCCTTTCAGCAAAGTATATTAAGCTCCTGAATAGCTGGGTAACTCCTGATAGCTGCATTTTGTTACCTGTCTAACAGTGGGACAGTGCTCCCTTAAATAAGGAAGGAGAGTCCTGTAAATCATAGTCCGTAATCCCCCAATTTTGTTCACATCGGCAAAATGTCTTCAATCGTTTCCTTTTTGAAAGATTAGCAGAACATATTCAAGTAACTATATATTTACTATATAGTTACTTATATTTTCTTTTACAAGACAAACTAATTAGCTCATCAACTTTTCTGTTTTGTCAGTGATAGCTCTTTAGGATTTTTAAGATACGGAGAGTTAAGACAGTTCTGGCAAGTAGATACTACTGAATTAGTTATGCATTTTCTCGTAGTATTAAGAACACTGTTTTATTCCTCATGGATGATGATCATTATTACCCAACTGTTACCTTCACTAGGTGATTCTTAATATAAAAGCAATTGTGTTATCACGTAGATGCATCCTTTTATCCTCTACAGCATCTGCCAATAAGAGTAAATTACAAATATCATATTGCTCTTATGTCATGACTGTGCTGAAGTGTTTTGAAATAGTTCAGCGTGTCACTTAAACACATCCTTTTTTGTGTGCAAACTTTCACTGCATTTGTTTCTCCTGGGAAGTGATTTCATTTCCTGTATATATGCACTTGGGAATATTTGAAAATGTAATGAACAACACTTGTCAGTTCTGAACCTCTATAATATGAAAATAAAATACCTATATAATTTATCAATGTAAACATTCCATCTAAAAATCTTTGGAGGGGAATTTTTCAATTTATTACTTCAAATTCCTTTTGTATTTATTTATTGGGATTTCTAGGCAACTCACTTCTAGATCAGTTTGCAACTCTGTCCTAAAGATTTAGAACCAGCCTGTTTGCCTCCATACTGGCACACAAGCTCTGCTTCTTCATTCCGCTATGATTAAGGAAGTTATTTACAGCTAGCTGGGCTGGTTGTCTCTGTCCAGTTCCTGAGCCTCTGCAAGTTCACAGCTTTACTATCCCGTGTAACTTGCCATCGATTTCAGTTTAAGCTAATAAGAGAGTGGCTGATTCATGATCCCTGCGAGATTTACCTGTAGCAGGAAGTGAGGATCCACAGTTCAGTCTTTTATTTTTCATGAACTATTTAGTGTGTAAGCACAACGCCATTGAAAAATAAACACTAGATTTTTTTTTCTTCTTCTTTTATGAACATTAAGCTCATGGAAAAGTTGTTTCTTCCATTAAATCAATTATTGTTTGGTTATTTTTAGGAGTTTTTAGAGGAAATCCTGCACAAGTAAAGGAATATCAGGATCTTCTGGATCCTTTGCTTCAACGTACATCTGAAGGTATTATCTGATAATCATCACACCGTAGCTTTTTATTTATGTGAAATTATTAAAATACTGACATTCCTATTAATGGGTATTGCAGTCAGAGCAAAGGAGAAGTAATAATATCACTATGTCTCCTGATGGCAAAATACTGATACTAAATAATCTCTTTCATGTAGATACATTGCATCATAAAGTGCGATAATAAAAGTAATGTTATCTGGAAAAATGCTGCTGATACAAATGTAAGATTTACGCTGTACCCAGTTGTTCCTCCCCTCCTTCGCCTATGCTTCATTATTTACAAAGTTCACTTTGCCTTTGCAGGAAGATATTAACTACCAACAGTCGGATTCTTTCAGTGTTCCACCTGGATAGTTGAGAATTACTTGCATCATTCGTTGTCACTTAACTTCACAAGATTTAAAAAATAATTTGGTATATGCATATGAAATTGTTTCTAGCTTAGGCAACATGTTAATTTTAATAAAAACGTTCTCTTACTTAAATTGTGTACTCCAGAATTTTGGTGGACAAAAATAGCCTGCAGACGAGGCTATTGATGGCCTACAGGCACATGCATCCAAAATTCAGTTAAAATAAAAAAGAAAAAGACCGTAAGTTTGAGTGGGAGGAAAAAAAATGGCCTGAGAACAGAACAAGCTTCGATATACTGACAATCCAATTTTAAAACTCAGCATCTTTAGTCACCTGCTCGTGACATCTGTGGTACAGTTACACAAGTAGATGCAGAACAGTTTAGTCTAACTTGTTCTTTAAACTTAGAATACCCGTTGAAGTGAACTAGTTTCTGTAAGAAATACAAACATTTCCATACCAAATTTTCATTACATAGCAAATTTTCTGACCTTGCTGATCATTGCTTTTTTCTGATTATTAACGAGTATGTGAAGTTCCACGGACACTAAATTAATCTTGTGGTTCCTCTTGTTGAATGTCAACATGAATGTCTCATCTTAAAATTTCTGGGTGTGTTTTGATACCTCACTCATTGGAGTAGTCTATCCCTAATAACTTCCACTTTTCAATTTTTCTCAGCTTCTTGTCAGTAATTTTTTTTTTTTGTCTAAGCAAATAGTCAGAGCAACTTTATTCTGTTTATCAATCTGTTCTTTATCCAAATAAATTCAAAATTAAAGCAATATTAAGGTGAAATTTAGTTTTGCAGAAAGCATAGTAATTTGCTTTTGTAATGCATATAATTAGGTCAATCATTTGTAATTATGTTTCTAAATTCCTGACTCTTGTCCACTTAAAAAGTATTGAAATAGAGGTTATTAATCTACAATGATCAGTAATACCTGCGGCGTAATTATAGATACAAGATATGCTATCTTCCGATGGAGAAGTTACGCCGTTTTGTTTCATGATGCTTCAAAATTAAAATGCTGTTTTTGACTTGTTTTTGCATACTTGCAAAAAATTCTAATTTACATTTAATTAAATGTTTGACTACTTTTGCCCAAGGTTTTAGTTTTAAAAAGTTGTCTGATACTGAGCTGGTGTTAAATGCGGGGAAAAACAGCCCAGGTGTTTCACTCTGATGCAGCTTTCATTTCTTTTGGTTGTACTGCATTTTGCTTTAAGTGAAAATTTTTTTTCTTTTTGCACAGTCAGGTGCCACACAAACAATGTATGTGTTCTGGGAAGAAATTCTGTGGAAATGTTTGGTGAAAAATGAAGTAGTTTAATATCGCCCTGGGTTTCTTACACTGATTGTGGTTTTGAGAGATAACAATGAATGACAAGAGTCTTTCTGTTCAATCTAATTGTTGCTAGGGTATAATTTTTCCTGTTTTAAATCCACTTCAGCTTTATTAGGGGACTACAATCAAATAATAAGGGAAGTGGAATTTATTTACTTACTGTACTTACTGTAAAACTCCGTAGGGTGTCCTGTTGTACCCAAGTATTACTATGTGCCAGCGGATTTTGTTGAACTGGAAAAGAAGAACCCTGGCAGTCAGAAACGGTTTCCTAGTAACAGTGGACGCGACGGAAAGTTTTTCTTGTGGGGACAGGCAGTTTACATCATTGCAAAACTCCTAGGTAAGAGACTGAGGAAATTCTATCAGGTTTTGACTCGTCAGAAGTGAAGGATATTTATCTTGTTAATGTTGTTTTTGAATCTGAACCAACACATTGGCTTGAGTTTTGAATGGACTGTGGGTGGCATGTGTGTCCTCTGCTTTGGTACATATGTGATAGGCAAAAATTGCTTTTTATTCTTTATGTTAAAATTTTATGCTGCGTGCAGCATACTATGAAGCTTACCGGAATATTTTACAGAATACTGAAAATCTTCTAAACATGACAGGTTTCTTTTTTGCTGCTTTTTTTCCTGGCTTTCCCTCTTCTTTCCTTTTCTTCATGACAAAATATATTAACACGACACTTTCTGGACTAACTATATCAGCTGCACCTGTACAGTAATGTTTGTAAGTGATCTATAGCATTTAATTCCAATTATTTACTGCTTTAAGCAAGACAAGTTTAAATTTTGAATAGTTGCAGTCTCAGATAAAGTTAACGTTTCCTTCCATCTGTGTTATTTTTACCCTTTAAAATAGAAGAGACTAGATGAGCATTTGAAAGTGCATTTCAAAGTTTGGCCATTGACGGTTGTTACGGTGAATTTCAGTCACAAATGAACTCTTGGTCTCACTTGAGAGGATTCAAAGGCTAATGCAAAAACAGTTGTTAAGGCAGAAGAAGTCTTCACAGTTAAGATTTTTTTTTTCTTAATATTTCTTTTAGGAGAAAGAGATATTACTTTATTTTAACATGCTCAGCATTTACCTGGTAATCAGTAGATTGAGTTCTAAACCCTTTTTTCCTGTGAACACTGTAAAGGGAAACAGGCTGTCGGTGGGAAAAATGAGAAAGATTGAAGGGGAGTTTAAAAATTCAAGACTTGGCAAGAACAGTGGTTGTATCTTTAGGTGTGGAAGAACAGAGTCCGTCTGGTGCTCCACCTGTTTGGTTTCACTGTATTCCTTGCATAATTCCTTTGTCAGCCAACACTGTAAAGTAAATGCAGGGAACCTCACCTTTAATGAAAAAAATTTTAATTTAACCTCTTAGTATTAGCCAAGTAATCCTCAAATGTGTGTGCAGGAATACTGCAGTAATTCTGCTAGTGTTCATCTTTTACTAGTATTTGTGTATTTCTATATCTGCGGAATACTGGTTAAATAAATTGTATTTATTGTTTGCTAAATGCTGTTTGAGTAACGTCACTTTCTTTTGTTTTGTTTCAATTCTTTCCTTTAGCTGAACATTTTGACACTTTTTTTTTCTAATAATTGTGCTAAATCTCTTTTTGAAATGTTGTCATTAGTAACTGTTTCCTTTATTGTTTTAAGACTTTCTCTCCAGTGTATTCACTACTTTTCATTCCTCCCTTCCTTTTTTTTTCAAAAATTTCTTTTTCCTTTTCTCTCACAATCTTTGCAAATAGGTTCTGGAAATTTTATCGCAAAGCTAAATCTATTCACCAGTGATTATTATATCAGGACCTCCATTTATTCATACTAATTTGTAATTGGTGCATTTAATTTTGCTCCTTTCTGGGTGAACACCTACCTGAATAACAGTCTTGTCCTTGGTAAAAGTCTTTGTGTGTGTTACTTTCCTTGTTGGTGGTTGCTAATTAAGTGGAAGCCTGACTCCGAACACTTCGCTTTCTGGGAAGGTACTGGTTTCCCATTTCATCACCCATTCCAGAAATGGTTGTGTTGCCTCAAGGGTGGCAATTAATTTGCATTTGCTCAGCCTCCTTGACTCTGTTGCGTAGGCGAGCATACAATATAACCCTTTTAGAGTCTTCTTCTGGCTGCGGGCCTACTGTCTGCCTGTCGAGGTCCAAATTTTTCTAAGTGCAGCAACAGGAAACCGAGTCCCTTCTTACAGATCTCGCTGCCTCCCGCAGGGGGGCAAACTGGAGTAGTGGAGGCAAAATTTTGATCCTGCTTATAAAGGCTCTGAACAACAGAGGCAATGAAAGTGCCTGCCTACCGCTGTTGGGAGTCACCATGTGGTTATGCAACTTGAAAAATTGTTTATGAAGAAAAGCATGCATTTTGCAGACGGTGATGCAATTTTTTATAGAATTCCTTTCTTGCTCTGGTTGAGGAGGTTTGTAAAGCAAGGGAAAGGGGTGCCAGGTATTCAGCTGTTTTATGCAACTGAAAAGTCACTCAGTTTAGTCTTTCATTTAGTAGCTCTCTTATCTTTCCTGTGCTTTTCCTTCTTCTAATTTTTATATCTTGTTCTGTGGATTCAGTGCTGCCTAGAACTAGGTTAAGAGTTTTTAGCAATGTTTTTTAGAGTATAGACCAAATGGATTGAAATGTTGTCAGCTGTGGCTGATGTAAATAATGAGCTAACAGAAAAATCTGCATCTGGATTCCGATACCCTGGTATTTGTGATAATGGTGATGAATATTCACTGAGATTCTTCACAATCTACAATTTTCTAAAATTGTAAATATTGAAAGTTAGCTTAAATTTTATATTAGTCTGTTGGTATAGTTGTTTTAAATATGAAATTAGTTTGACTACATATTTTAATTACTGAGCGGTGTAAATCAACGTAAAAAACTGTGGAAATACAACACCTCTTCTGGAAACCAATCTCTTGCTTTTAAGAACTATGAGGCAGAGTCCATTGATCTTGCAGTCATTTGGTGAATCAGTTTTATAGCATCGGCTGTACTACAAAGAATGTAAGTAACTTCTATGCCTTTAGCCAGCATAGGAAGTCTGACTGTGTGGACTGGAGCTTAGATGACTCTTTTCCTTAAAATGTATTTTGGTAAATCATGTGTCAGTGTATTAATAAATTGTCCGTGGTAACTTTTCATAATCTAGCTTTGCTTTTTTGTTTGTTTGTTTGTTTTTTAACATAACCACCTGTACAAGGATCGTGACTCTGCAGGAGCGGTGCAGAGCAGAGGAACAGGGTCCTTTCCTGGCAGGAGTCAAGCTGCATTCTCTCAACAGAAAGCTGAGGACAGGAGATGGTCACAGTATCTAGTGGCTGACAGTTGCTGGCATAGTCCCTAGCAGCAGCAGGCTCCTTCACGGCTTACTGGGTGAACTGCCCAGCCGGGGTCCTTCATTGTCTGCCCATGCGTTTTCTTTCCACTGCACCGTCTATTTCTGCTCTCTGGTCTTTCCTAACACTGTTAAGCTTGAGCCAGGACATATTTTGAGTTTATAAACTGCTGTCTTAATTTACTACACAGTGTAGAATTCAGAAACATTTTTCTTATCGAGGCAGTGCTGGTTTTCTGTTGTAGCTGAATTAAGCTAATGGAGTCATGACTTACTTCTCTTTTAGCTGATTTCCTAGTGTAGAGCGTTTTAAGAATATGTGCAAAATTGTTGACTTATGTATAGGAGAAATGAAAATGCACTGTGACCTCTTCTGTAGAAGAAATTAAGTAAAGATTGGACAGTTTCATGTCAAAATGAGCTTTTGATAGGAGAATGCTTATTTGAAGGGCATAATAGCTCACAGTAGATTGTGAACCTTTATTCAAGGCATTTGTTGAAACTTTTTAATAGTATACTTTTATTGGAGTACTTAATTTTTTTTTTTCAGGATAATGTTAAAATAATGGAATTTTAGGTTTGGGGTTTTTTCCATGTAAAGAACTCCATGTAGAAATTGCTAGGTTTCAATATATTTAATTGGGGTTTTTTACAGTTTCTTCTTGAGATACTGTATCGAGAGATACCTTTGATATTCCTTGTCCTTTTCAGGATTGTAGTCGTCTGATTACCTTGAGATAGAGGCTGTATGCTTTTCTTCAAAGCTAAACAATTTTTGATGGTAACCACTGAGTTTCTAGTTAAAGCTCTAGAGTAATTGCATCACTGTGGATTGAGGGCTTTTTACGTGACTTGTGTGTTGTGGAGTCTGTTGTCTGCATATATTCTTTTAACACATCTCTGTGGAAAAATAAAGGATTGTTTTTATATACTACAGTATTATAATTAAATGATGCTTGAGTCATTAGTTTTAAAATTAGTATAATTTTGCAGAATGTCCTTTTGATCTGTAAAACATTGATCTAAAACAAAGATTATAGCAGCAGAACTGACTATATAAAATACATTTGCATGCCTCCTTCACAAAAGCTGCCGGAAGTACTCAAGTCATTCTGTATTTTTCTTATCATTTACTTTCAGCTGACAAATTAGTAAGTCCTAAAGATATTGACCCAATTGGACGTTATATACCTCCACAAGATCAGCGGAACGTTAGCATGAGATTTTCAAATCAGGTAAGCATAAGCTTAGTATTAAAACATTTTTACTGAAAAATTGTCATCTACGTGTTCTATACGGTCTTCTAATACTACAATTAAGGTGCTAGGAAAATATTAAATGTATGTACGTTTCCTTAGTTGATGGAGGATTGCTTTTAAAAGGAAGATTATAACATCTGCAGTTTTGGGGAAGCGGTGCACATTTGCCTTCAAATCAAGTGGTGCAATCAAAATGATACATAAAATGTAAGTTTAAATAGCTGCTAATAGATAGGTATGTTTCTTTGAGTTATAAGATATGTCAGGAAGGCAAGAATAAGCCTGCTTTCTTTTAGTCCTTCAAATTAATTACCACTTCAATGTATTAATATTTTTTGTATTTAGAGCTCCTAAGAGCTACAAGGATGAGGTTCTTTTTTGGTGTGCATGGTATATACGTGTGCTCCTGTGTTTGGCTTAAATGTGCAGCAGGAATGAGTGCCCAGGGATGGGAAATGCTTGAAACATTGTAATTCAAATCTGCAGTAGATGGGGTAACAAGGCAGAAACATGGTCGATATGTAGGGGATTTCCTTTTTTAAAGAGGTAAGAACTGTATGTATGGGAGCGTGAAGCTAAGAGGTATTTTTCAGCCTTTTTATTTCTTGGTGTAAGGAATATATATTTGGAAAGTTCCTTGTTCAGCATTGTGCATTTGTTATTGAAGCATAAAATATGAAGCATTTATCTTAAGATTTATTCCAAGATCAGAAGTGAACGATGTTTTTCTTGTTCTATCCAAATGCTGCTTAAAACCTGTTTCCTACTATTTCCTGTTTCCAAGGTATTCCAAGCGCCTGGGTGTTGACTCATTCATAACGAGACTTTCATTGTTCACAGTGCAGCACTTCTGCCATGTTAATATGAGATAATGAAAGCTCAGTGACTTCATTTGTTCCCAGTTTCTTTGTTTGCTCTTACTTCATGGCATTATGAATGCTGCAGAAATTGTGAGCTGCCGCTATCACCTGCCCTTTTAGGAGTGCCATTAGAAGAAGCCTATATCGAGTGAGCGTTGCATGCAGCCCATCAATTTTTTTTCTTTGACTCTTGAAACCAATAACTTTTAATATGCCACAGATGAACACTTTGAAGAAGATGATGGTTTGTTCTAAAGACACTGCGTGGCTCATCAGGAAGTATTTTAGTAGAAAAGCATTTCTACTGGTTTTTGGGGTATTCGTTATATGATAGGGAACTTCCAGATCTTCAGAGAGAAATAGCCTCTGCCCTGAGGGCTTCCCAAAAGAGATAATAAATAATGCAATAATGATTTATTTTCTCATAACTTACTCCTTTGTGGTCACTTTGTGGGTCAATAAAGAACTAACTTAGTGAAATGCAGTTATCCGGTAAAATTCAGCAATTTAATAGGGCCTCTAAAAGCTCAACAGTGTTGAAAGAATTGAAAATAACTCAAACAGCAACATTTTGATATTTTGCTTTATCTGCAAACAATGCAAGAGAAAAAGCTTTGTCACTGTGAGAAGGGAGATCAGACTAGATGGTTTGTCATTCTCAAGTGCTTATACTGTCCTTGTGTTCTTTCAGCGCTCAACAGTTGTCTCTGCTAGAATTCTTTGAAAGAGCAATTGTGCTCTTCCCGGACAACTTGGTGGAGCTGATGCTTGTTAATCTTTCCCTGTAAAGGCTGTCTTTAGCTGCTTAAATTTGCTAAACCTTTGGCAGAAATTTTCAGTATTTGGGATCAGTAATGTTTTTGCTGTTGTCAGGGTAAGAGAAAGAGAAGCCCTTCCCAGGGTGATCCTCAAGTGTATTCTGATGAACAAGACTGACGTTACATTTGAAAGCTAGAAATCAAGAGAGGATAGGTTTACTTTTTTTTCTTAAACCTAAAAATCTTTATAAAGATCTGACTTAGATCAATATATTCAGCAATTCCTGTAGTTGTGCATATCCTTTTGTGTGCAAGAGGTTGTGAGATGGATTGTCTGTTGTTCAGTGGCATATAGGTGGAACGGTAAAGAAATGAAGACAGAAAGAAGCTCTGGGATTGCCTAGGTCTGCTTATACCTCTGTTCTTCCCGGTGACGGTACTTCTTTGCTATAAATGACTGTGCATGCTTTTCTTTGATAGGTAAATGATAAAACTATCCAAGATACTGCATGTGCTTCTCAACGTGGGTTAGAAGAAAGAGAGGCACTTCGGACAGTAGAAATTGTAGAAAATTGGGACCAGAATGGTTAGTGTCCCTGCAATGCTAACCAGGTGGTTGTGGAATTTCATTGGGATTGTTTGTGCTGAAACAGGTGCTGCTGCTGCTGCTGCTATCATTAAGAGAAGGTTAAAGAATGAAAGGCAGATGCATAGATGTATCAACGTGAGTGAGGTGTGCTGTATCAGCAAAGGTCTTGCAGTTAAAGTCAGCCAACTTCGAGTTCTGGCTGAGAGTCTTGACCTTGCCTTTTTTTAATCCACATTTTAAATTTGCTTAAAAGGTTTGTCTGAATATTTGATTATACCTTTTTATCTAATTGAGCTAATTTATGCAGAATCAGTATTTAGTATTTGCCTACAGTGCTAGGAAAATGACTAAAAAAATACGAAATGGGAACGCAACACATCTTAATTACATCTTTGGAAATCAAAAGTAGTTTCTTCTCTTTAATGATGTCTTCTCTTTTCCATATAGCTAAAGAACCATTCAATTAAATTGAACAGAAAAGTATTTCCACTTTTGTTAAATTTCATTCCTGTAAGGAATAGGCAAGGATATGTAAAAATTTCAGATGCCTGTGTATATAAATTTTGTTGAGGTACGGTGTTTTGGAAGGTGATGCACCAAAAAGAAGGCTTTTTTAATTTTTATTTGAAGCCCTGCGCTGAGGAAATATTTCTTAGAGAAATGCATTTTCCATGTAGGCATATTTTCATATTTTGATTGCATTGACTGGAATCTCTATATACATTTGCCATTGAAAAATGTGATTAATTTAGTTTATTTGTGGCTTTGGTGTCACTACAAAAATAGGCCTGATGCCCCCATAATTGTGTAGATTTAAGCAAGCAATGAAGAGTATTTAAAATATTCCAACCTTAGTTTTATGGTTTTGAAGCACCGGTGAAGAATATTCTAGAATTAGTTACAGGAAAGCAAGGTAATATAGACCTACAGAGGCAAAATTGCAATGAAAACTGCACCTATAACTATATATAGGTATATAACTACAGCTGTGAATGCATCGCTCGACCTAGAAAATCTGATAAAAGAGGACAGTCTCATTTGTGGTAGAAAACTGTGGAATCAAATGAGCAGTATGCTAAAAACTTAGTGGCCACTAATACTAAAATACTAATTTTGTCAGTTTATAGTTAAAAGGAAAAGTTTTCTCTCCTAATTTAATGCCCCCCAAAATTTATTTTTCACTTTCAGGAAGAGGTCTCCGTACGTTCCCCCTTGGGGAAACGCCTGCGTGGCGCTGGAGCAGGATTCTCTTTGCTAGTTTTAGTCTGTTCCAAAACACAGTGAAGTCCGACAGCAATGAGAGAGGTTCTCCTTTGCACTAATTATTTGCTTTGTAATGCGAAATGGTCAGTAGTGTTTCAGGTTAAATCCCATTCATGAGTTGAAAAGAAAATGGAATAATCCGTGCTCCGTTTACTTCACTGAAAGAAGATAATGCAGGGCATTTTGTTTCCGTGGGGATAACTCTTTGGAACTGGATTCCTTAGAAGAGCTCGTTTTATTATTCCTTTTTACTGCCTCCGTATCCAGGAGAGATGATATTATAACACAGTTTCGGTTGTTGCATTCTGGTTTGGGAGAATTTAGTGTATAAGAGAGCCTCTACAGTAACGGTGACGTTTGAGAAATGAGGTGGGGTGGGGATTTTCTGGTTTTGTTTTGTATTTTACTGGAGCATAGGAAAGCTGATTTATTGCCGTCTTACATTTAATTTCGTGTTTAACAAAAAATGTAACCTTACTGAATCCTCAAAGTTAAGACTAATTTATCTTCTGGGCTAACTTGAAATATATGTATAGGGTTGCAGTTACTGTTAAATTCTCTGACTGCATGTGATGACTGTATTCTTCTAATGTTTTGCTTTGTAGACTTAGTAATCGTTTGTGAGGACTTCATTTAAGTTACTGGAAATTAAGGTTAATGCCCGTTGATGATGTTGGGAATAGTCAAAATGATGGACTGCTTATTATTCTATTTTCAGGGAAGTAGGTAACGTGTAAAGAAGGAACTAAAACTAGTAAGTGTAGGTAGACTGAGATACATTAAGATTTTTCTGCCACCTAAAGTATGTTTAGGGTTAGAGCATGTCTAATTCTGATGGTTTAGAGAGGCATATCGTATTGGATGATTTGTTTTGTAATGTTAATGATAAGCATATTCTTGCTTTCATTTCTCTTAATACAATTGTCTACCACAGTTAACACAATTGTAAAATTGTTTAATGTTATTTTAGAATTTAAGGCACATGTGTGTCCATATTGTATTTCATTTAAGAAGTCTGGTGTTAGTAGCATTGACCACGCATCGTTCAGCCGTATTTAGATGCTTCCAGAAGCAGATGTGTTTTGTAACAATTCAGTTGTAGTTTTGTAGCAGCAAGGTGGATTATTTGGGTTAAGTACAATTTCTTCCGTTGTGTGCTATTTCTGTTTTCCTCTTCGCGCTCCACATGCTTGGAAAGCCCAGTAGGTGCCATTTTAATCGGTGTTCTTGAGTATCGTGCCCATGTTTCAAAATGAACGGGTTTTTTTTCAGAGTTCTGAGATTTCCTGAGAACGTGTGCAGAGAGGCATATAGCGATAGCATCTGTCCAGTGAGAGTGCAGCAAAAGACTAATACTGAGCTGCTTTCTCTGCTCCTGCCAGGAAAGGAGCCAGGGATTTTTCCCTTTATCCTGCCTCCAACAGTTTATAACCTTGTTAAAAAACGTGATTTTTTTTTCTTTTTTTTCTTTTTCTTTTTTGAGAGGAAGAACAACTAATCTGTCTTTTATCTTGGTCTTCTGAAAACACTGGGGTATATTTATCATTTGCACAGCATGCAGGATCTAGCTGAAACAGATCCTTCTGCCCACTATCCAGTGTGAAACTGTGAGGCAGAAGGGTGAACCTGGGGGGGGCTGGCGGTGTCTGTTGCAGTGTCTTGGGGAGACGGTGATTGATGTTGTGTGAACAACACCGTAGCTTGCGTTATTAGACAAATGTGAAATTGAACACATTAAAATGGAACTTTTAACAACAATAGGATTTATTTAGTGGAATATTTGGGAGATTAATGCTTTTCCACTTTTTTTTTTAATATGTAGCAAATGCTATGTATCACGATCATTATTGAAAAGAGTGACATACTTTTTCATGAGTACTGTATCTGTTATCTTGATCTGTATTTTCTAGACCACCACTTGTAATCCTCCAGGCCTTGACATGTTAAATGACAATGAAAGTAACTTTCTGTTTAATGTTCCAGCAATCCTGTAGTTGTACAGCAATTATCGTTGTATTTTTCCACAATACTTTTTCAAAGTCCAGCTATTTTTCACACAGATTTTGTGTTGTGCCAGTTGTGCTGCAGATGCGTTTGCTTAGTTATGGCCCATGTTAGAACCACCGCTTACTGGCTGCTACAAATGAGTCATGCCATTGGGTACATCTGTGTATGAGAGGCACTAGTCCTGGTATCGGAGAAGGACGTACCTCAGTGGAGATGCAGAATACACAGATTTAGGTACAGCTTACAGCTGTGGTTACACAGTTCCACTCAGTTTATAATTAAGTTGAGCCTTAACTTGAAGACCACTCCCAAGTTAGATCACAGGCTGTCTATAAATCAACAGAGTCTTGGAGGGGGCTCTCATTTTCTGGGGGATCTTTGCTTTTTGTTTTGTAAATGTAATGCCCTGATTACGGTAGAGAATTGGTTTGAGTTTTCTTACTGTCTGTGTAAATGCAGTTGGTTGCATGATCAACTTATTCTGAGGAGGAAGATCTTTTAATGTCACTTGAACTTCTGGCTTCTTAGCCTGGTCTCTTTGTGCATGTACTTTGATCGCAAACTTACTTCATGTGGCAAAAACTCCAACATTTTCAGTGGAAATGTAGTGCTGATAGACTTTTGGGAAAACGTTATCAAGAATTTCTTCTGTAAATTCGTAAGATCTAACTTGATATCAAGGCTTACAGATGCCTGAACAAGCAAGCGTTCACCCTGAACTTTTTGTTCTAAATCAATGTGTCTATCCATCTATCTTCACAGAAAAAGCTGTATTTTTATATAATCAATTGATAGAAGATGTATTTAACTTTTGTCATTCATGTTCTGGTAGTTTCTAGACAAAAGTAGACAAAAAGCATTTCAGGAATGAAAATGTGCGCTGCTCTTAGTTTTTTGATTTTAGAGTCATTGAATGCCAGAGAAGAAATGAACAAGGAGTAACTCAGACATCTCATTTTTTTAGCTACTAATGCATGCTGCCAATGAAAAGAAAGGTGAATTGCCATTGCAAGACCCCGGGAGGTTGAGTCAATGATTTCACCCAACACGTTGAATTCATTCCTATTTGCATGGTTTCCTGATGTAAAATACTAGTATTTATTTCAAACGTGAAGTATCTGTGTTATAAACGATGCAAGGAAATGCTGTTATCTCCTGTAAAATGTAATATATCTTTCATACAACTGTAAAGAGTTGCTGTCTGGTCAAAATATTTCAGAGTAAAGGGTTGAAATCATCAGTTCATTATTTTAAACTGAATATTACCGGTTACCCAAATAGCCAGGTTATTTCACTCTTTACAAAAATGTGTATCATTATGTCATATCAGGCATAAAGGAAATACATCGATTGTATACATTCTAAATTTAAATTAAAATTTAAAAAAACCCGAAAACAACAAACCAAACCAAACAGTGGAAATAATTAGCAGAAACCTATTTATTATTAATTCTCCAAAATGCATCTTGCAAAGTATTATTGATAGGATAGTCTTCCCATAGTTTTGAGATTTACAAGTTTTAGTCCTGCATTGTTCTTTCAATTTGTTCACACAGTAAGAAAAAGCAGTGTAGGCAGTGATGTCTGTCATACTTGTGAATTGTTTAAATAGCCATTATCCCTTTTCATGCTATGTCTAACAAAATACTTAGTTAGCGATGCTAATAAATGTTTTTTCATTATTTTCTAGGGCCCTTTGGAAAATGATTTGGTAGTACGTGTGGCCCTGATAGCAGAAAGTCAGCGGTATGTATTTACTTTCGTTAAGAATGTATATATTAAGGAAGTCTTGAACAATAGACATCTTAAATTTGCCAACGGTATTCGAGGAAGCGTAGCATACAATACTGCTACTCGTGTATCTGCTGCCAAGATAATTGTTAAAACTATGACTGTTCTCTGATTCGTCATTAAATTTGTCATTATTTTGTTCGTAGCCTACAAGTTTTTCTGAACACATATGGAATCCAAACTCAGACCCCCCAGCAGGTGGAACCAATTCAGATATGGGCTCAAAAAGAACTTGTCAAAGTAAGGAATTCTGCATTTAAAATTATTTATCTGTCTATAAATTTCTTTTGTAACAGTAGGAATTTATACCAAGCTATTAGACTTGTATCTCCTTAAGCTTGTTATCTACCTTTTTGTGTTACTCAATTGCAAGATACGCTGACGCTGGTCAGTTATACCTGCCTAGTTAGAGCTTTCAGTGAAACACTGAAGCTCAGACGTTCTATATTATCTGATGAGGCTTATTACCTGAGCCACTTTCGAAGAATAATGAATGACTAATAAAATTTTAACAATATTAATAGCACAGTAGACTAAGTGAACTTGATGGAGAAACAAGCAAATGAGCAGTAGTCAAAGAAACGGATTAAGGCAGTAGGCATAAACCATCATATAATTTCATAGCGTAGCCCCTGTAACAGGCATTATACAGTCTTCTGTAAGTGTTTTTTTAGCAGTCCTGTGAGTTGACTATATCCAGGAGGTTTAGTGTTTAAACCCTTTTCGGTTTACCCCTTTAACTCAGCACATTTAAAAATCTACGGTCAAAAATTACTGGCCTGAAGGACGTCTTCAGAATCCCCTTCATCCCTTGTGAAGGCTTCAGGTTTTCCTTTTTCTATACAGGCAAGGAGTCTCCTCGTGGAGTACCGTACCCTTTCACTTCAAAGGCTGGCCCTTTTAGCCCTTATCTGTACTGAGCCTCCCTGATGATGCCAGCCTAGATGCCTCTGTTCAGGTAGCTGCCAATGCCACGTGAAGCCAGCAGTCAAAGACGCATGGCAGCTACAGGCCGTACTGGTCCATTTCAGTGTTCTCTTAGCACTACCATGGCCTCTTTTTTGTTCAGTCATTGTTAGTACTTTATATATAGCACTTTGGCTACACTGAGTATGTGCTTCCAGCTTTCCACTGCTGTTCGTCCTGGAAATACATTTAAATGTCAGAGACTATGACAAATGCTGCTCTGAATGATAAATGCGTTGATCAGCAATTGGAGGTAAACTTGTCAAAAGTCCTAATAAAAATCTGTATGAGTACTGGGTGCCTATTTACCTCTCTCTCTGATATACTTCGACCCTTCCTCTGAAAAAGCCTTGAAAATAGTCCCACTGTACATAAAGCTGCAGAAACTGTCAGGCAGGTAAGCTGATCCCGAATCACGGATGTGCACTTGACATATTTTGTACTTCACCACCTGAGTTTGATCGTGGATCAGGTACATAAAGAGTTTGTCCAACTTGGAATTACACAAATTGTCTCAAACAAGAGTGATGAATTCTGGATGTCTGGGGGAAGTATAATGAATGTAGTTAGTTTGTTGCAGTTGTGGGACAAATCGCTCTGCGAGTCTCTCCCTCTGAAATCAGGATCACGTGGCTGATGCCATTAATCTGTATCAGAAGCCTGTAGGACACAGAAAAAAGTAAAACCGAAAATAGAGAACGTAGCAACATACTTTGGGCTTCATAAGTTTGTGAGGATAACTGATGTACCAAAACCTTGCTAGCTAATTCAGAAAACGCTTACCCCAACTAATGACTGCCACTAACACCTGAGAAATACTTAAACAGAGAGAGAAGAAATACCCTTGTTTACATTCAGCCTTGTTCATTTCTCAGCCCATTTTTGCTCACTAGTTTTCTTGATAATGTATTTCAAAATGGATTCTCACTGACTGTGTTTGTCCTGAAATTCTGTATGTGAAATTTTGGTTTAATAAATAGATACTCCATAAATTTACAATAGAAGTATATATCATGTCTCAGTCATCCATCATTTCTTTGGTCTCCCTGACAAAAAGATGAGACCTTCATTAAGTTTTATTATTATCAATTAATTTCCTATATAAGCTATGACAACTTCTGTATTAGGATTTATTTTTCAAAAGCTGGCGAGACATCTGGCAATTCTGACATTTGCTTTATACTTATGATGGGTAGGTACATCTGCCTCATCAAAATTTACTTTTCAAAAGAAAGTCATGAAAATATTAAATCGCGTGATGCAAACCGTCTTCCTGGAGGGCTTCCAGAAAAGGCTACGCTGTAGCTGTAAAGCTGAATAGCTGTGCAGCTGAAGTAATGAAAGTGTTTGGGGCATTAGGAGAACTGAGGTTTGATCTGTGGGCTTATGCAAAAAACCAATACACACCAAAAAGCAAACGAACAAAAAAACCCTGGTAATATTTGTCATCCTTTGTGGGGAGGGGAAGCTACGGCTGGAACAATTATCTGTAGTTTTGGGAAAAGAGGGTTGATCCATAGAGAACAGGGATGTCAAGATTCGCTATTCCGATGCTGTCAGCTCCCAGTAGTGTTTAATTAGAAACTTCTGAACTGCTCTAGTGGCACACGAGAACAGTTTAAACCTCTAGACTTATCAACGGGCTTGTGTCCAAAAAAGTAGTGTAAAAAGAAACAAAGGGATGAGGGGAAGACGGTGGTTCAGGAAAATTAGGGATTGAAAGTAGGACTGGGGTCATGTAAACAGATCCACAAAGTCTAGGGCGGGGACTGAAAAGAGGAGGAAGAGGAAAACAAGAAAATGGGAGACGATGCACGCAATATATAGAGAAAAAGTATATATGTAGTGGAAGTATAGTACAGGAGAATCGCAGAATACTCCATAGGCACAGACTGATAACATAAAAGAACACAGAAACAGATGGTGTGAAAGACCACTCTAGTTTGATTCACTCTCAGATGAACCCAACAGTCCAGTCTGCTTTCGCAGCTGTTTCTTGCTATTAGCAGCTCTGATATTCCAGAACTGAAGGGCATTTTAATCAAAAGAAAGCCCGCTTGCAGCAGCTGGACTTGCATGAAACTGTACTCTTGTTCAGTTACTCTGGTGCTGAATCAGAACTGGGTTTGATTGTAACAGATCACGATGGAAGGCTATTACTGGAAGATGACATTGCTTTAGTAGACCGTAGAACAACAGGAGGCCTCAAGCTAAAGAAGGAGTTTTCAAGGGAAGAGACAATATTACAGTACTCCTGGAGTTCTTTTTTTGTTAAGAAAGCATTTTATGTCTTACGTTCTAAGACATAAAATAGCAATTTTGTTCTAGCAAAATGAAGGTCCTTTTAGTGTTAAATTACAATGTCTACTGCCATTCTTCTAGTCTCCATTATTTACTACAAAAAGGGGTTCAACATTCTTTTGGCTTTGTTATGTATAGACGGGTTGTTTAAAGCTGTCAATGTTTTGATGTCTCCATTCCTTTCCCACTTGAATACGGCTACTTAGCCTGGACAAACAGGTGATGTAGGTAATTTTGTTTATTTTCTTTTTTAAATAGTTCTTGGTATTAATGCAGAAACACAGGCAATACAGGAAGGCCCCAAGCTGACAGCAGTAAAAAGCTGTGGAGTGTAATGTTTGTTCAAATGTTCACTTTCATTTGCTTCTGAATTATCTTCCTATAACATAAAGAAAGATTGAGCTTAGGAAAATGTTCTGACGTTTTAGTAATAGTGGGTTCCTTACCTAAAACAGCACAAATAAGGAAAAAATGACACCTTTCAGTCTGGTTTAACTGATACTTTTATACTGTCTTGCTCACAGCTTAGTGGGTTTTTATGGTTTTATTCTCATACACTGTAATAAATGACGATTATTTCTTTAATATGCAAGTGAAACAAAATTATACCAGTTGAAGTAATACTAGGCATACGTAATTCAACTCAAATAAGAATCAAGCAATGAATAATGAGATAATTCTCTCTTGCTTGTGTTGTTGATGCGTTAATTTTGCAGGCCTTTGCTAAAATTAGAATAAAGATCTTTAAAGAGTTCCTGTATTACTGTTTTGCCTTTGTATCCACATCGGAAAAGCATTACAGAAGGCAAAATTGGCCAGACAATAAATGTAAATGATCCTTTAAAAAATGGTCCTTTAAAAAAATTATTTCAATGAGCAATTTGAAGATCTAAAAAATATTTTAATTATATAGGCTAGAAAAATAATAGGAGTAAGAAGGTAAAAATAAGACCTAATACAGGAAACAACAAGTTTTAGTTGAATTTGGAAACTATGCAGATAGGCAGGACTCTGGTGCTTTGCCCATGCCCAAAGTTGCACCCATGTGTCCTAATCATAGCATCGGGATCCTACCCAGCACTCCTGCTTACCCTTAATGAAGACATCTCTCTTTTAATGTAAACCACTATTCACTGCATTTTCACCTTCATAAGTAAGGTGAAAATCCTTCGTCCTCGCAGAATTATTATTAGAAGGAGGGAAGGGAAACTGTCACGCCGTATCCACAGCGCAGCACTGGCCTGCCAGAAGTGACGTGCGTTGCACTGGAATGACTGACTGACTGTCAGGGAGCAGACTGCTTGCGTCTTGTCTTCTCGCAGCTTGTGTTTCTTGCTTCCATTACCTGGTTGATTTTTCCTTGCTGTAAAGATACCTGTTGTTATCAAAAGATTTAAATTTGGTCTTTGAACTGTACATTTACCAAATCCAGTGTTCTCTTACTTCATTGATTGCTGTTATATAGATGTATGTTTGGGAAAAAAAAAGGGAAAAACCCAATAGAAATAATGACCACATTTTATGAATCGTGTTTTCTGATTAAAGCAGAACGCACACAGCTTTCTATGTGAGACCCAGTAGGAGCACAAGAAAGGCTTGTATCTAGGTTTCCCTCAGTTTTCATGGTTCTTTCTCACAGGCTTACTTCCATTTGGGAGTCAATGACAAACTGGGATTATCTGGAAGACCGGACAGGCCTATAGGATGCCTTGGAACATCAAAGGTTGTTGCAAGAAATTTTTATATTGTTGTTATTGATGTATATTTCAGATAAACATTGAATTAGTCTCGGAATGATTTTAAATAGGATTGAAATGTAATTTTATTTTATGCATATATCTTATTTTAAAGTGCTCGTAATGTATTTTGCTATTATGAATGTGTGTGCTCTGTTTTACTATTAAACTGTCATATGTTTCCTAGACATCCAATTACAGTAATACTTGGCCAAAATAGGCTGAATGGTGATGAAGTGAACTGCTTTAACTGAAATGGAATCTAGATCTGCATACCTAATAAAAAACAGAGTACCTAAAATTAGATTTGTAGGTTTTATCTTAAATATTTGTTTTAATTCAACTGTTCTACATTGGTTATTACTTTGATAGTTTCAAAATACCTTTTTTGCTTTTCAGCTACTTCAGTGCTTCAGATATTTTAAAGAAAAGATTAATGGAAGCTTTCTCTCTCAACAGATTTATCGAATACTAGGAAAGACTGTAGTTTGCTACTCGATCATTTTTGATCTAAGTGATTTCTACATGTCCCAGGATGTTATGATGTTGATTGATGACATTAAGGTATTTATCTGTAACTTTTTCATTGAGAAACTGACAAAAACAGAGTCTGTAGAAGAATAAACTGTGAAGTTTGACAAAATAGAAGACTGAGAGGGGAACACTGTATAGTGTGTGTTCTTCTAATACAAAAACAAACTCGCAGTTTATGCTGGAAAGTGTATTAAGATGAATATCCTATCAGCCCAGTACGAGTTCTAGCGAGTATCTCTATCTGACAAAAAAAACTCACCCAAAAGTGATGGGGAATGGTGTAGCGCAGCACAGTCCCATTTGTTTCTTTGGGAAACTGGTCTGTTTAGGGGAAATACGAAAGCCTCACCTGCAGGAAATATTACTTGACTTTGCACAAATATTAAAAATGGCCTTCCTTCCCTAACTTTTAAGGCAGGCAGCAGTGCAAAGCTTACCTGTCAAGTCCCCTGTGCTTGAGCAGCTACCTGTGGTGTGTAGGTGGCGGCACTGGTTATTCCATGCTAGTGGCTACAATTCGAGCCCTGGATTCCCATGCCTACTTACTAGGTCATTACGTGTAGTTCAGTACACCGCACTCTGACTAGTGGTTTAGTCTGTGATCAATGTATGCGCTAGGAGTATTTCCAGAAAAGTTGTGAAATAGCAGGGCGTGAAAGCAGCTTATATTCGTTGAAGAAATCTGTCAGTGGCTTATTAACTAAGGGTTTTTTAATCTGTTGGGTGTTTCAGCGCTGTTGTTTTATGATAGCTCTTCTAGTATCTTGCACTGTGTATTCTGGTACGTTGTGCTTGTGTATTTTTTTCCTGTGACTAACGTATTATTTCTTACGTAGAATGCACTGCAGTTCATTAAGCAGTATTGGAAAATGCATGGTCGTCCCCTGTTTGTTGTACTTATCCGTGAAGACAATATAAGGTAGAGAGAGAGAAAAGCATCATTTGCAGTGTGGTATTTACCTAATTGCAAGATTAATGGAGTTCTGTTTCAAATTTCAGAGGGAGCAGATTCAATCCAATATTAGATATGTTGGCAGCCTTTAGAAAGGGAATTGTTGGAGGAGTGAAAGTTCATGTTGACAGAGTACAGGTATGATGTTCTTCCTGAATGCTGTGTTCTTACCTCCTAGTTCTGGTACATGTATTCTTACTACTTTTGTTTTTCATGTGACTTCTAAGTATTTTATTTAGTATCATAAAATTAAGGAGTCAAGACCCAAGACATTTGGTACAGTTTTTGTCTTAGCTTATATTATTGTTAAAATAAACATGGGCTTACTTCAATTCCTTTTGATGAGTCTTTTGAAAGTGATAATCTTCATAGAGGATTTTCAGAAGGGAGAAGGGTTTTTTTTATGTTCGGCAATCTTGTGAAATTACCACCAAAGGATAAACCCACGATGTCAGGCATTGAGGGATTTCTTTTGATTAGATAATCAATGAGGGGAAAAAAAAAAAGGTGCTTCACAGATATTAAAATTCTTACAAGAACTAAGATCTAGTTTTAACATCTTTGCTGTTTCAATTAATCTAAAAGCAGGAACGTTACTACATTCCTACAGAGTAGGAAATGCTATTATGTTGCGTTTTCCTGTAACATCACTGAGACTGATGGGAAAACTACCCATCCTTCAGTGATCCCTGAAACAATGAGCATTACGATCCAGAACACGGGTGTCATGCAGGACTCTGAGGAATGCAAATCCTTATCTTGGGTGTTTTCATCAGACCCGTTTTGGGGAGGGGGGCTGGACATTGCTTGATTAAGCTGTACACTGTAGGCAAAAGAACAGCAGAATGCCAGCAAAAAAGAGACAGCAGCCCCGAGAGACTTCTGCTGTCTTACGTGAGATCATAAGAAAGAGGAAAGATACTCTGAAAGTGCAAAGATATTTGGCACTGTAGATAAAGAAACTACTTTCTCAGTGGAAACCACCAGCAACATATTGAGATCAAAAGACGACTATATAGTTATGTACGTTTCTGCATCTTTTTTCATTTTTTCAATTTTTCATTGCAGACATTAATATCTGGAGCAGTTGTTGAACAACTTGACTTCCTAAGAATCACTGAAACAGAAGAGTAAGGCTGTGTGTAAATAATAATGATGAAGTACTTGATAATTAAAATATTTTCTGAACTATGAAGAAATGAAATATTATTTTTCAGGGCTCCTGTATTTAAGAGTTTGGAGGAGTTGGATCTTCCAAAACATTTAAAAGTCAAGAGACAGTCTAGTACTCCAAATGCTTCTGAACTTGAGCAGCAACCAGATGTAAATATTAATGACTGGAAAAACAAGTCAACATATGAGATCCTGCAGAAACTTAATGTAAGAAAACTTGATAAAAATACAGTGTAACTTCATTCTCATGAAATGAGAAATTATGTGCTGGTATTCTTTTTAACAGCAGCCTACTTAGATCAACATGATTAGTGTCATAGTTCAATGTTAATCAAGTAGCTAGTAACATAAAATGCCTGATGTTTCTCTTCGTACTTGAGGAATCTTCCTCTTGACAGTCCTTTATCTTAACATCACAGAACTTTCTGGCCCTTCGTGCTGTAACTGTTGGCTTCCATTTGTCCCAGCTACCCAAATCTTCTTCTGGTAATAAATGACCATCTAAAAGGGGATCCGTTTGTCATGTGTCTTATGAATAGATATTTTATTGCTAGACTAAAATGCAAAAGCCTTCAACAGTTGGTATTCACTCTGATAGACTGGTAACTTCTTAATGAGACATTAAGATCTGGCATTTTTCCTGTATCTAGAGGAAAACTACCAGTGACTGTTTCTAGATCCAGTGCTCAATAGGAACACACAAAGTATCCTGCTTGGTTCCCTATGTCATTACAAGCGTTTCTGCTGTAAATGACAGGACCCAGGAACAGAAAATCAGGAAACACTTCTGAGGCCAATTTATTACAACGTAACTTGAACCACGGAGAAGCCTCTGCAAGCAGCAGTGACAAGGACACGGCATACATAGGGTATGAAATAGTTGTGAAGTCCCCTTAAAAACGAAATTTGTAGACTTTTTTTTTTAATTAAAAAAAAAGGCCCTTTGGTTTCACATGACATTTCTAATAGCTCTTCTGGTTCTGCTTCACTGAATATCTGAAGGCAATTTGTGGTTATGTTGTTCCTGTTTTTTTTAAGGACTGCAATTGCCTAGCAAGTCAAGCGTTACTCTCGAGTATATTGCTTAAAAGGGAAGGACCGAATTTTATCACCAAGGAAGGTAAGAGCTTTTTTCATTTGACTATTCTGAGTATTTCAGGAAGCAGCTGTATGTTTAGTTGTAATGAACATGAATAATGGCCATGCATGCAGGCAGTTGTGTAGCTATTTCCTTTGCCATTTAAAGCAATTTTTGCATTAAATGGGACATGCAAATTCATAGTGCGGTGGGGAATGAGCTGTTAAATATATGAACTCTTTTAGATTGTTTGTAGGCAGGTGCTCTATCTGGTTGTAATTTTGAACACATAGATATAAAAAACAGGGGATTTAACCTTGTATAGAAAACTGAAACTAAAGACAAGTTTGCGTGTCTGTAACATTTAGTCTGAAATGTGTGAGGCTTTATACTGAATTTTTATTTTACTTGTATGTAATCAGGCTAATTCAATATATCTGTCAATCTTACTCTACTCTAATTTTGTATTATGGCTTTGTATTAGAGCACAGGATTTAAATTAATGTAAAATAATTCAGCAGAGGCTACTAAGGCTTGTGGCTTTTGTGCTGCAAGGTTTGGTGTGTTTTTTTTTCCAAAGACTGCTTATTAGCTGCCTTTGTATATATGAATACGCCCCAGAAAAAGAGGAATGTTAAGATCAGATAATATTCTCTTAGTTATTCATCAAGCAGTGTAACTCACCACCTCATGTTATAGAGCCCCGCTTCATAATTTTGATACAGGACAGCTGGTTCTTGTGACGAAGAGCTGTCATTTTGACATAAATATACATTATATCCATATTGCTATATTAAAAATGTCATAGAAAACAATGTAAAGTGGAATAAAATTCATTGGCTGATACACAGTGCATTGTTGAAATACAATGTGAATCCAAAGTCATGGTTGGAATCTGAGCATTAGGCACGCGTAGCCTTTGAAGCAGGCTTTTTTGCCACTGTTATCTGTACTGTTGTTGGGCTTTGAGAGCCTCAGTAGCTTTCTATAGTCCTTTGTAGGCTGTCCCCTTCTTTGCTCTGGAAACAACTTGAGGCAGACTTCCTAACCTCTGTAAGCAACCAGCATAGCCGCTTTTGACCATTAGATCATGATGATGAACTTAAAAACTCTCTTGAAACCATTTAGGTCAAAGAAGTACTGTTGTGCCTCTGACTGTTCAGAGCTAACTTCTATAGACCTTTTTGTGCCATCCCATATGAAGTTGTAGATGATGATAACCTTTTTAATATGCACCTTGCATTAAACAGTCTGAGTCACTGACTAAAAGTTCCTGTCCTCCTACGACTGGAGATTACCGAGACTGACATTAAATAATCACACAATCAATACAACAAATCTAAAAATAAAAGCTGAAGAACCTTGGATGTTCCAGCTGACAGGCACAGGCTATGATTTTGTGAGTCAACTTCCGCTACTGTTGTTGTTACAGATGAACTTACTGTTCACCAGTAAGTGCCTGGCATGAAAAACACTACCATTCCATCTGAGAATTTAAAATCTAGAAGCTAAATGAAGTCTAAATAACAGAGTGTTCGTCACCATTTTTACCTTTAACATAATGGTCCCCACTTGACCCCTGCACAGTTGAAGGGATGTCAGTATACCAAGTTGATGCACTAAGATCAACTATGGGCTGACAAAAGAATGGTATCTAGTGTTCTGATTAATGTACTTCATGCCTTCTCTGAATCCTGGACCTACCTACTTTGACTTAGAAGCAGTGCCCTTCTCGTTTCCTGCCCTCTCTTTTTTAGGTCATGTCTGTACAGCATGATGCTAGTTTAATACATAACACTGCACAAAATGTTCTCTTTGGTTTTGGCACACAGAAAATCAGCTTGGAGAGGAAGAGTAGTAAATCAGTAATACAATGTCTTATATATCTGTCCAATATCCCCTGCTGTACTTTGCAACAGTGATAAATAGCTTCACTAGAGTAGTGCTGTAACACGCCTGATTACCAAAGCTAGCACACACAGTCACTGAGGTATCTTTGTGGGCACCTTATTGTGGTTATTCAGGGCAGAGCCACAAAGCAGTGAAAGATCCTCTCTTTGGCACTCTCCCAACTTCCTATAAAATGAAAGTCTCACGTTCCACATGATTAACCAGGTGATCTGTTGTTCATATACAAAGCTGAAAACAACCTGTGTCTTGGGTATCAGCTGTTGCAAACTTTGTCCAAACCTAACATCACTTCAATGAACTACACTGTCAAGCACAAGACTTCCCTGTTGCTTCCTGTAGGTTTTAGCTCAACAAAGAGGCAAGACAGTGGAGAGAGTATCTACATCCCGTACCCAAAACATAATCTGCAGTTTGAGGATGTACCTTATGATGGGCATGTACCTTTATAGGCCAAATCTGTACGTAGGTTAATTTTCCCCAATATATTGCAACAATAGGTGATATCGTAAGTTTCTCTATAGCATGCGCAGCAAATTTTGCTGAAATCTGGTTTGGCTTCTTGCGTAACAACATTCAACTGGATGACAGGGGACTTGATTGCATCTAAATTTTTAGATGTTGAGCACAATAGGTAAGTGCTTTACTAAAGCTGATTCAGAATTAACTGATCTCATCAAATTTACCTTATTACTATTAAATGAAAACCTGTGCATCTTTTTTGTTTGTGTTTTGTTTGTGGTTTTTCTTTTTAAATGCATTTAGGTACTGTTGCTGAGCATATTGAAAGAATCTATAGACGAGCTGGCAGCAAAAAGCTCTGGTTTGTATACATATATCACGTTCCTTTTGTTTTACACCAATTTTTTTTTTTCCTAGTGTGTTTATAGCGAGTAAAGCCAGATCCTTACGTACTTGAAGGAGGAAAGAAAAAAGGGCGGCTTTACTGACAAAATTGTATTGGTTCATTGCAGCTTAAGATCTAGTCAATAATGCTTTAAAAAAAAATTAAGTATTTTCTTACTGTTGTCTTTTAAAATATAGAAGAGTAATAAGCTGGTTTTGCTATGAGTGCTACTGGCGATGTACGGTTCCCGTTAAATTCAAATAATGAGAAAAGAATACTAATATTTTTATTTCTTACAGGGCACGATAAAATATTTTCAGTAGCTTTCTGTAGTAAGACTGGTGATCAAATACAAGTCAGTTAAGTTCATACCCTTACACAGTTTATTTATTGCCCTGATATAATTTGCTTGGAGCTTGACTTTGTCACAATAACTTTAAAAGGTTTCAGCAAGTAGGTTGGTATTTACATGTTATTAATTTCTTTGCCCTGAAGCTCAGTAGAAATTTCATTTCTTTTTATCGAAGAAATGAGTTGAGCCTGTCCTGAATTCTGTTCTCTCACTTTGTAACTTTTCCTAGCAGATGAGTCTGTAAATATAAAATTTGTTTCTCGTTTTTCATTTTAGTCTGGTCATACAGTTAACTGGGCCTTTGCCAATAATAAGGGAGAACCAAAATACCTTGGGTGCTATTTTTTGTAAAGAATAATAATCACAAGTACTTTTAGAAACAAAATATGTAAACTGTTTTTCATTTCTCTTCCATGGTTGCCATGTGACATACATATAGGTTGGTGTTGCGCTACAGTGCTGCATTTGCACAGAAATTTTCTTCTTCTATAGCCCCACATATTACTACTTTACTGGTACATGGGAAACAGGTAAAGTGCCCCAGAGGTCTGAAATGGAGCTCCGTGAAAGTCTTTTTTTTTGTTTTGCTTATTTGTATTTTGATAGTATCAGCTAATGCATTTCTGAAATGCTTTGCTCTTGATCTTAAGTGTGTAGCAGTTTTCACAGGAATCAGCATCAACTGTTGGAATTTTTTACTAACACTATACAATATTACAACTCGTTCATTGTCTCTGTGGATAAATGATTCTTAGTAGCCTAAAAGCCTGTGCTAGAAAAGCTCAAATACGGGTCTATTAGGTTTGCATTTTGTCAGGAAATTATTATTAAAAGCATTTACATCTTTAACCATCAACTGTATATATGAAAAAATGTTTTTCTTAGAAGTTACAGCTAGTTCTTAACCTAGCAGTTTACACAAGTCTCTTCTTTTCATGCTACCCATGCAAAATACTACCTCAGCATGGAAAACAAAACAAAGCCTTGGTGTTACATGTTGTACTTTCTCTTGCAAAATCTTTCTAACTCTTCCTTAAATAGACTAAAAAAAATTACCAAGCTTATCTTGCAAAATTATGAAAATGTCACAAAAGAGAAGCTGGCATCTCTTACCTGTCTGTTTTCAAGATGCTGCTGAGAAAAGAACAACAAGCTTTTTATGGAGTTGGTAGTTTAATGAGTTCTAACTGAATTTATTTTTGATCCATTAAGCTATATCTAGACTAAAAAATGAAAATCCATAGAAGATTACATAAAATATAAACCAAATTCTGCTTTACAAATAATGTATGTATTTACTGAGCTAGTTTTGAGATCTCTGCTGTGGCAGACTTCAAACTTATATATGAATTCATTAAACTAGCTTTTGATATGTAGTGGGATTGCTCTGTTTTCTGCCCTCAGGTCTGTTGTGCGCTTCGCAGCAAGTCTTTTAGGTAAACTAGTGGACAGCCTTGCACCATCTATTACTAATGTTTTAGTTCAGGGCAAGCAGCTGAGTCTTTACTACTCAGAAATGTATTAAGGAATGACAACAGAGAAACTAAATAAATGGGCTTTTTAATTTTGGAGGCCTCTGACGCTTCTCTTAAAAGTACCCAATGGCTTAAAAAAATCGTTACTGAAGAAGAAAAATCCAGAGAAAATAAAGATATATTGAATACTTGCATATACTATGGCCTAATAAATTTATTTAATGACAGAACAATACTGAAAAGACAGTTCAGTGTCTAGATAAGAAGGGAAGAGGCATGATTTACATAACTCCTTCGATTTTATATATATATATGCCCTCTTATTTCACAAAAGTAGATGGAGTCAAGTAATAAAGCTTCTTTTTAAGACTTACTTAATGAAGATGTAGCCACTCTCTCTGTAATTGAGCCTAAGATAACGGATGGGTGGCAGTTGAGCAAAAAGTCTTTCAGGATTTGAGTTTTCTGTTCCAAACAAAGTTTACTCATCAGTGTTTCTACCTTTCCTAAGGAGAACTTTTTTTTTTCCCCCAGCACAATAATTCTAATTAAGTTCATGAAGAGCTGTTTCCAAAGAGTAGGAATTGGATATTATGTATTTTGGTATTAAAATATGTGTATGCGTACACTTACCTGTATGCAGTGCTATTATGACAGATTTGTCGTTGTCTTGCTCCAGACTGGGTATGTGCTTCTGGTGGTACATAACTATAAAGGAAGCTGCACCCGCATGCAGCATGATTTGTAGCTCTTGATTCTCATCTTTTTAACCTAACTTGCCTTCATTGATCCATTTATAATAATGATCTTTATTATAGGAGAAAAATTACTGTTGCTGTGTTTTACTGACAGCAGATTAAAAGCAAATCAGAGTTTTAACAAAATTCCTTTTTTTGTGGTTAAACAATCCAGAACCAGCAATATATTTTCTTCAAATGAAGGCTGTAACTTTTAGGATGCTATTAGAAATAAGAAAAAAACCCTATTAATTTAATTCTGAATTTTAAGTGAGCTCCACAGCTGAAATGTCAGAAATGAAGGACTATCTAAACATAGCGTACAGTCGTGATTACACAGCCAGTCTTGAAACCAAAGCAGTGGTCTTACATTTTTCCAAATGAAAATAAAAGTACATTTCATCTTTACTGTGGTCTTTAGTGAATTTTGTTATTTTAATAGCATCCAACTAACAGTATTAACAAGCATCAGTCATGGAGATAAAATTATTTTTGTACTGTGAAATTTTAACAAGAAAAGCAGAGTTCATGAAGCTTCATTTCTGAATTGCTTCTATGGTGGTTTTATTCCTGTCCATATCTTCTGAATTGTTTTCAATATACCATAGGTGACACTTGGAGCTTTTGGCCAAGAGGAAGAAGTTATTTCTAATCCGTTATCCCCAGGAGTGATTAAGAACATCATCTATGAAAAATGTCATTTACAAGATCAAAGAGAAGCCGTAGTTCAGCAGGAACTTGTCATACATATTGGCTGGATCATCTCAAATTCACCTGAACTTTTCAGTGGCATGCTGAAGATACGGATTGGGTCAGTAAAGTATCTACTGTTGTTCTTACTACTGGTATTGCAGGGGAACATACATACTTAACAGAGGTTATTGCTACACTGCAAAAATGGTTTATATAAGATGATGCAGCAAAACTTGTATACTTCAATTTTACATTTCTAGGAAGCCTGCTTTAAATCATTGTGCCAAAAATGGGTACACAGCTAATCTCAAATTTGCCAGGCAACAGTGTAAAGTGGAGGAGGGGCAGTCCTTGTAATAGTCCACTTGAAGCTTCCCTACAGCTAATACAGTGAACTGTAGGATTTTTCAAAGCTTGATCCCTATCATATTAGGGCTTTAAAACCAAAAATAGTGTAGTGGGGTTAGATGCATTCTGTACAGCAAATGAGCAATGGCAAGTGTGCTGCCTCCAGGTCACCCTGTCCTGCCAGCAGCCAACAGGCAGAATGTTCTGCCTGGCTCACTGAGTGGCTGAGTAGGCAGTGACGAGCTGGCTAACCAGACTGTGTGTAGCTCTGGCATAGACACAGTGAGTCTCCATTAGCAATGCAGTGAGTTGAAGGGTTCTGTTTTAGATTGCAGCTGGCCTCATATCCATACGTGAAATAATAAAGCATGCACTTGAGTGTATTAGTGGTGCTCCTGAGACAGTTTCTTACCTGGCAGCAGACATACAGCACACTGGCTGCCATCCAGAGTTTCCCAGTTGCAGAGCGGATACAAAGTCTGCTCACAGTTTGCTCTCTGTGCATGGGCAGCAAGGCAATCTCTGGAGAAATCTTTTTATCATCTACTAGGTACAGGTGTGCTGCGCATGCTTAAGGCTGGTAACTAGCATGAATTGTGTTACTGATAAACATGTGATGTGGACATGGAGTCCTAGAAGCATAATGGATCACGCCAAACCAAATGCTGGTTCTTCCTTTACAGTGCCCCATAGGCAGCGTAGATACACACAGGGTGCGCTGCTGTCTGCCCACCTATCAGGCAGGTTAGAGGGACATGGCCGGAGGCTAGGGATGTACTGTACTGACAAGGAGGGAAGAATCAAGAGGTAGAGAGGACAGTAAGAGCTTTTACTGTCAGAGACTTTCAGGACTTGAGGAAGAAGGAGGGAAAAGTGCAGTCTAGGATTAAAGCTCCTGGATGAGGCGGCCTTTAAAAGCTCTTTGCTCACTTGAGCAGTCACCTATGTCATGTAGGTTCAGGGCAAATGGGTAAACGGTAGAGACTGCATAAATGCAATAATCTAGGAAGGATGCAGCATGAATTTGATTCCCTTCTGTTGTGGTTTAACCTCAGCCGGCAACTAAGCACCCCGCAGCCGCTCGCTCACTCCCCTCCAGTGGGATAGGGAGAGAATCGGAAGGGGAAGAGTGAGAAAAGTCATGGGTTGAGATAAAGACAGTTTAATAAGTAAAGCAAAAGCTACGCACACAAGCAAAGCAAAACAAGGAATTCCTTCACTCCTTCCCATGGGCAGGCAGGTGTTCAGCCATCTCCAGGAAAGCAGGGCTCCATCACACGTAACGGTGACTTGGGAAGACAAATGCCATCGCTCCGAACATCCCCCCCTTCCTCCTTCTTCCCCCAGCTTTATATGCTGAGCATGACGTCGTATGGTGTGGGATATCCCTTTGGTCAGCTGGGGTCAGCTGTCCTGGCTGTGCCCCCCCCGCCCTCTCAGTCAGTAGAGCATGGGAAGCTGAGAAGTCCTTGACTAGTGTAAACACTACGTAGCAACAACTAAAACATTGGTGTGTTATCAACATTGTTCTCCTCCTAAATCCAAAACACAGCACTGTACCAGCTACTAAGAAGGAAATTAACTCTATCCCTGCCGAAACCAGGACACCTTCTGCAACCACACAATTCTCCTCCAAGTCAACATATGCTTCTAGTTGCATTCTCTGGTAGAGAATTCTAGAGCACATTACTAGAAGTAAGTGCTGAGCTCACAATATAGCCTTGTCTAAACCAGTCTTGAAAGTCTGGCAACCATGAGCAACAAATCCCTTGGAAACGGTGTTTCAAAGTACCTAAACTATTTCTTTTCAGAGTTTTAGCACAATAATCTGCCTAAAAAGATAGCTTATTCTTTTAGGGTGTTGTCTGTAATGGAGACATCAGGTAATAAAAGCCTTCTGCAGTTCAAATGTATTTACCATTACAGCTTTTCCTAAAATATTTTGAGGCACCAAGGTATAATTCTGATACTCTGTGAATCTGAATATCTGATATCTGGCATAGCAACGACATTGTTCAAGAGCAGTTCTCTACACAAAAATACTTAACTGTCATGGTAAAGAAAACCTGATTTGTCCTATAAGGTTGCAAAAAATGTCTTTTTGTTCTTCAAAAAACCCCAAAACAACCCCCCCAACTGAACAGTATCCCTGTTACAGATGAACAGTCAAGACATGTTGTGTGTATCAGCTACATAGTTGTCCAATTCTATACTAAATAGGTTAGGCTAAGCTATACGTAGCTTAGGAACCACAAACCTGAATCAAGTTTAAAACATCATTTACCTATTAGATTGTTCTATTTAGTTCTTTAGATAAGGCAATCTACAAATTGTCTGTGCTGGAGTGTTATCATATTCCACAATATCTGCATTTACTTTGCCATCTACAGAAATTAATTATTTTTTCACATTTAGGAAGAGACAGATGCATTTGAATAAGCACTTCTTTGAAGAGGCCAGGTGCTACTGACTGAGATTTACAGGATCAGTGAGCATGCTTTAAAATTAGAATTTAAGTGTTCCATCTTCCATATTTTTTTCATAGAGAAAATATAGCATTTCAGCACTGGAGGTAGATACTAGCAGTCTTTTTTTCTAGCACACAAGATTCATGCTTCCGCTTTAGCAGTACATTCCAGTCATCACAAAACCAAAAACTTTTCAAATCACCTGTATTACATTTAACTGCAAGTACATCTACCCTTTTGCAATTAAATACCTTTTCTGTACCCTCTACAGATCCTTGCTACTCCTCTTTCCTCCCCTTCCTCATTCTCCGTAGCTAATCCTTTTTGGAATTTTTTTTTTCTTTCTTCCAAGGTTAATGCCAAAGATTCAATTTCCTTTATTTCAGTGTTATCACCCACTCCAGTGAGCAAAATTAACCTTCTTGCAGAAACACCCTTCCAGTTTGATAATGATTTGATTTATTGTCATTACTGATTTGTTTTCAGGGTTTCATGTTGAAATAGATCAAGTTCCTGACAGCCCTATTACTGTAAAAACCTCCAACCAACTGACTTCTACCCACCTCTTATCAGTGAAGAGTTCGGTAGGAGGTCCGCTCTTGATTTTGTTATGTTTTGTAGGCCACTGCAAAGAGAAAATACCAGTGAATGACTTCCACGCGGATACATTTGAGTCATCAGTGAAAAAGGAACCAATTCCTAAGCCAGTTGTGTTTATTAATCTTAGTAATGAGAGAAGGGCACTATTCACCCACTAAAATAAATAAAAGTAGTGTGTTCTGGATAACATAGTATGTCCATGTTGCCTAATATTCTGTTGTATCTTGCACCTTCAATGAATGATCCTAGAAATCTCAAATTTAAAGCAACATTGAATCAGTTGGCCAGACATCTGAGAATTCTGTGTAGTTACTAAGAATCCTTCAGAAAAGGTTGTGACTTAACTTAGATAAACAAAAACATTCTGTACCTTGTAGGCTAAATAATTAAATGCCTGTGGAATGTGACTATACTGATGACAAGGTAACTCTCTTAGGAATACTCTGCATTTTCTGATAAACAGAGTAAGGCTTTTTGATGTAACCCAGACTTGAGCAGGTGTTATATGATGGACTGTTTGAAGAAAAACTAGTTAAGTTTCTTTTACCTTTTGATAGTAATATCTACTTGAACTGAAGCAATGTAGATGGTAAGAGACCAAGCTCCATGCTCAGTTATCTTGCTTCAGATGTATCTATACATTATTTCACCTTTGATATTATAGTAGAGGCTGTATCACTGTTTTTATATGATGTGCAGAATACAATTCAGCATTTTCCTTCAATAATTTGCAAAGTTCTGCCTCTCTGATACCTAAGGCTGAAAAATCTTCACTACTGCCATATTTTTATTTAATCAAATCTTTTCAAAAGGGAGTAGCAAAAGAAAGAAAAGTGTAATAGACTGCAAAAAGGAATTTCAAAGGCTAAAACTATAAATAAGCCCTGAAGTGTCTTTTTAAATGTACAATAATTTAATTTTTATGTTTTTTTAAAACTCATCAGCAAAATGCATATACTGTCAGAGCATAATTTTGAGTAGGAATTTTAACATCAGAAGGCAGGTAAATGTTTGTCTTAATGAACATGGGACGTAGGGGAATAGTGGTCAAATATATCTTCCCTATGAAAAGCATGCTTCACAACCCATTTCTTAAAATCTATGCATTATCCCTCTCAGGTTGTATCATATTGCAAACAAACACAAAATCTGAGTAAATTCCACAACACAGTAAGAGTAGTGGAGTAGTTGTTTGATATTTTATGCATGTCCCGACAGCCAAATAGCAGGATCATATGGAATTCTTATGAGCTATTTTATTAGACAAATTTTTCATCTTCAGAAACTTTGTATTTAATTAATAAATGTATTCCTCCCTTTACTTTAGATGGATTATCCATGCTATGAAGTATGAATTGAAAATCCGTGCTGGGGATATGCCAACTAAAGACTTATACCAGATGTCCCCTAGTGAAGTGAAGCAGCTTCTGCTGGATATTCTTCAACCACAGCAGCAGGGAAGGTAATGAGATGTGCGGGTTTGTGGCACCTGTTTTCATTCATAATAGGCTGTTCAAGTAATTTTCATTTCTGAACTACTTTGTATACATCTGAAATCACTAGGCATCTACAACCAGCAATATACTTATTTAAGGAAAGGTAGCAAAAATGCACTTTTTCATTCTTTCACCTGTGTCCAGGTTCTACAATTGTTTCTTTTATACTGCATCTTCCCTTTTCAGCTTTATCTTTGTGGAAGTCTTTACTGCCAAAGTATAGAGAATACTACTCTAATGTGAAGCATTACATTTTTTGATGTGTGGAAAGGAGCCAAAAATTACTCAATACGGTCTACTTAAGTAACTTGTAAGAACAGTTTGTCTGCTCTTCAGTGTCCTCTTTCTTCTAGCTTATTATATGAATTAAGAACAGATGTTGCCTAGAATTCTCAAGAGATAGCAGTGCTGCCTGAAACTTGTAATCTTTTCTCCAAGCTGTAACTAGCTGCCAAAAAGAGCATTCATTGTGATACAAAGTGTGCAAGACAAAAGTTAAAATTATGGTATTTCCACTTAACTATATTGATAAGAGTAAAGTCAAAAGTGCTCCTGTAGGCTTTACTTCTAGTTAAGTTACATTAAACTTTGGCACATAATACTGCTGCTAATTTCCATAGTCCTTGACTGAATGGATGATGGCCTTTTCTCTCAACAAAGAGGAAATATACCACGTCATACTACTTATGTTCCTGCTTAATTAAAAACACAGTCTGTTTTTTTCCCCAATCTATAATGCCTGAGAAACAAGCTCCTTAAATCGCTGTCAGCTCTCTCTTATCTAACTTGTGTGACGTAGAATCTCTCAGTCCAACTGACTATGTACTCTTTATCTCCCCCATGCTTTTCAGTGTCTTGGTTGTGGTTATTAATGCTTGCTGTTTAGTTGCTGTCTCTACTCATGTCGATGTTGACATTATTCTTCTATTAGCAGAACAACCCTAGGTTTCTCTTTGCAGCCTTTTCCATTAAATATTATGCTATTTAGGAAACAATTTGGTCAATCGCAGTAAGCAATTCAAGCACCATCCTTCATTAGAGATCTTACATGAGTTGTCACAGTGCCTTCTGCTTTTGATTCCTTTAATGTACAATAGCTGGATCAGCAAAGAGCACTCTGGTTGATTTTCTGATGATGAAGATTCTTTTTTGGGGATTATCTGAGTACAAAAGCTAGCCAGCATATCCTTCAAAACTTCGCATCTTTTACTTCTTCCTGTACAGTATTACTAGCTCATTTTTCCTTACCCATTAGTGACTTGTTTTTAAAAGTTCTCTTCCTGACAGGAAATACAGAACACTGTCTCCTTGCGTTTTCTTTCTGTGACAGTTTTTCCTACTTTTGTGATTTTTTAGAAAAAAAATCTCTGCTGCTGTGATACCATGTATCGCTGCCAATTAATTTGTCATACATGAAGGGCTAGAGGTATATGTACTTCCCTAACAGTCTCTCCAAGTTTTCATGGAGGGTAAAATTTTTGCAATTTTCCTACCTCTTACACTGGGCTCCATGATATGATAGCCTATAGATAAATGTATCTTTTTTTATATATATATATCACCAACAGAGTGCATACTTCCACAGGTATTCTTTTTGACCTATCTATGTAGGTCACAAGATTGCGAGTAGCCTTTTTAAAATGGAGCATTGTTCTTTTAACGGTCCAAACAGTTATAAAACTCATTTTGCTCATACAGTTTACAGGACTCTCTTCCTTACCATAGTAAGTTAGATAGATAGGTCGGAGTATTTTTTACATCTTCAAATGCTTCTTTCTTTGTATTAAGAAAACCACCTTTTATTTCTAGCACAACTTGTCGTTCTGTTTTTATGAGTGTTTTCTTGTCCTAGTCCAAGGACAGAGCTGTGCAGAGAATGAGATGGAACTGTCATAACAGGGACAAGTTTTTGGCAGTTAAGTGTTTTACTGAGAAGTGATCTATGAGACCTTTTTTCTTAATTTGCCATGTTAATCCAATACAGTTATCCAGGAAAAAAAACACTGCATATTGGCTTGATCCTGGCAGTGGGAAAGTAATTAGAAGTCAATAGTAAGTCAGTGACTGCTATTGTATCACAGGTGCTTTAAAGCTTTAACTTTAAATATCTCCTTTGTTCTCATAAAGCATATCCCAGTTACCTAGAGCTCAAACCTGTTCAGAAAATGCACCACCTTAGTGATAGTTTTTTCTTTCTTTCTTTTAAAAAAACCAAAAACTACACACTGTTTGTTTGGCCTTCTAGTGTAGTTGGGAGCTACACTAAGAAACTTAAGAAAAGTGTAAGAACATCCATGGAGTTGTCTGAATTAGAGTTCTCTTTTCTGGTCAGATCTCAGAAGGAATTCTCACCATTTGTCCAGTATTTAAGATTACGGTTTTTAAATGTAAGATCTTTTTGTTATTTCATGAGGCACACTGGCGTCTGCATAAACAAGTAATTTTACTGACAAGTAATTTTATTCTGAACATATCAAGTTAATCTAGCAATACAAACAGAGGAAAAACTAAAAAACCCAAAAATGTTAGTGCTGAATTTCATCTGAGCTAGGCTACAAAAGTTCTGCAGAACAACAGAACAATACTGTTAAAAAAGTTGACCAGGGCATTTCCTTTTTTTTTTTTTTTCTCCTCCTTCCCCTTCTTTCCAAACAACCTACCGGAACCAGGTCTTAGAAATACAGAAAGCCATGTTACCAAGCAGTAATTTAAATGTAGTTTTCAAAAAAAACCCAACTCCAAACAAATCCACAGTGGTGGATAATGTGTAATAGTGAGTGTGTTGATTCCTGTGCTGCAAATATCCAAATATTTAGGTGTAGAAACTTGCCACCTTTCCTGAATGAGGTGCTTCCTGAAGTACTTGTTCCCTCTTACTAAGGGTTCCTTAATTATTTTAATTAATTTAATTAATTAAATTAATAATTTTATAACCTTATTAAGGTTATAAAAGAGCTGATTGTGACCTGGAACTTTTTTTAAAAAACTCTTTTGCAGGAATATTAAGCTAAGACACGGAAGTATTAGTTGCTTTTCATCAGAGCTTTGCTTCCTAGGAGAGCTCTCACTACTCTCTTACCATATAAAGATAGATTTTCTACTTAAAATTTAAAAAGCATTTCAGGACAGTAACTTTTAGGAAACCTCTTCTGTCAAATATGTGCAAGTACTGCTACACAAGACTTAATTCTGTACTGTGAATCCACCAATTAAAATCATACCCATGGCTGCCACTTCTTAAAGTTCCATTGCTGGTATCTCAAAACATTTTGGCTAAAGCCCCATTGCTGCAGTAATGCTCAGAAGGAAAAATACGGAAATTAAATTCCAGACTTCATGGCTGTAGGTAAGAAAAAGGTGGGGACAGTATGCTTTTGAAGGCAAACAAAATTTGTAATTTGTGGAGAATGTAACTCAATTTGTTCAAAGCTTTAGTTTAACAAAACCATTCTGTCGGATTTTCTAAATTTACAGGCCACTTGTTTTTCTACACACCATCATAAAAAAAACTTACCTTCAGCAATCCTGCTGAAATGCATTTTTCTAACCTGGTATTTAAATTAGAATGATAGGTGTTTCTAATCCATTATCTATTACATTTTGTAGTTTATAGATGCAGAATTTATTGAGCTGTATTTATATAATGAATTGTTTTGCCTATTGTAGTATGATAAAACAAATGTTAATATTATAGTTAGTATCGGGTTTTTTCAGTGTGTATAAATTTGGCTGTCATAGGTACCACACAGTGACTTCTGTTTTAGGTATGTTTTTGTTTGTGGTGACTTAAATTGATTAGACATGATGAATTCAGCCTACTACTGTTACTGTGCTGCACTGGATAGATTTCACAGTTAATTCTTTCACTTCAGTTACATAAAGCACAAACACACACATAAGAATAACATTCTAACCTCTATATGCTGAGCATCTTGATTTTGTTTGCTTTAGAGTGTAACTTACCAGAAAACACAACATATACTGCATATGCATCATTAATATGTATTTGATGTCACTGCTTACCTTACTGGCTTACACCACACAACACGGCTTGGTTCTGCATCTGTAACAGTTTTTTACTTCAAGTTCTCGGTTTTCTTTGTCCACAGAGGCTGGCTAAACAGAAGACAGATAGATGGTTCTCTCAACCGAACTCCTGCTGGATTCTATGATCGGGTGTGGCAGATCTTAGAGAGAACCCCTAATGGTTTAATAGTGGCAGGGAAATTTTTACCACAGGTAAAACCGGCAGAGATGCTCAGTTATTTCTGCTCTACCTGACTATTAATGGTGAATTATTTTATCGTTAATGTCTGTTTTATGCCATGATGTATTACTTAGGGTAATTTGTTCCTGTTATGATTTAATAAATTAAAAAAAAAAAATATTTTCAAGTTTTCTTTTTGGTTCTGACCAAAATACAATAAGAATAGAAGTCAGTTATTTCTATTAAAACACAATTATAAAGGCATCAGTCTAGAAGACCCTTTCCAAGTCATGGACTCTGAAATCTGCTCCCTTTTTGATCCTACAGTGGTCATACTTCTTAGTTGAGTATTATTTATTCAACAAGCAAATAGGTTCTACCTGGGGGTGGTTTTGATTTATTGCAAATGGTCTTTGAGTAAAAGTATTATTTGTTTTTCAGCAACCAACCTTATCGGATATGACGATGTATGAAATGAATTTTTCCCTTCTAGTTGAAGATATGCTGCAAAATATTGACCAGCCGGAATACAGGCAAATTATTGTAGAGGTCTGTGGCCTACAATGAATGAAATTTTATAATGTACATGAATATGTTACAGCTTAAAAACAAAAAGCTCAAATATTTGACGAAATAGCATTTTAAGTATAAACGCTTCAGTGGCTTCTCCATAGATTTTGTACGATTAAACAGGTTCCTGTTAACATGTTCAGAATATACGAAGCTCTTGATGTTCTCCCCCTTTAGCAAATAGATAAATATTAATGACAGTGCCAATACAATTAGGTCATAGGAGGCAAAAACTAATACGAAGAGTAATTCCAAAGTAGCTTTCCTTCAAGTCCCTAGCCCATGCCTTTTCCTAACAATTTTCTAGGTCTAGGGAAAAACTGCTCTAAAATACCAGTTTGCCCTGCGATAGATTCTTTTTTCCCATTTTGCTGAGGCTCTCTAGTAAGTTGCTTTATGCTACTGAATCAACTAACTTCCAGTTTCCTTATGTTCCCATACACAGTAAAGCAAGAGGCTGTTTAAACTCCTTCCCCACCACTGCACATAATGTATACTTTCTGAACAGATCAAGAGCATCTGTACCCTTGGTAACTGACATCTGTGCTGTCAGCAGCATTCATTGTTAGTTCTCAAGTATATGCCTCCGGTGTGTGTGAGAATTAGTCCACAGTAAAATCAAATCCATCTCAATTCTGGCTAACAAGTAATGGTCATACTGCTGCTAGAAAGTCCTCAAATTTTGCTGGAAGAGAACACAATTATCAAAACCCAAGATGACCAGTATAGACTCTACTGCCCGCTTGTAGTTATTACAAGAAGTCACTTGTCACATTCACCTTCACCGTCGTAGTACGATTATACCATGTGTGATTATGCCTCAGAACATCAAATGCTGAGGTTTAGCGTTTGCTACTTTTCACCCTTCCATTGGCGGAGCACCAGCATTTGTGCAGCCGCACAGTGAACTGAATAAATTGGAAAATAACTTCCTTGTCTCCCAGCAAAGTTAGATGTTAATGTCAATCGTTTACGCAGAGCCCTTAACAAGGTAGTCACCAGAAATTGTAACCTTTCATAAAATCCTGCTTTTTCAGTGATTCTTTTATCAAAGTCAGAATTCTATTATCTGTGCACTATTACTTATGCCATTATTAAATGGCTTCCTGCTTGAAAGCGGCATATGCAATTATTAACAGTGCTTTTATGTAACCTGAATTTTAACAAAACAAGTTTGAAGTCTTACAGTCTTTTTCTGCCTTCTAGTTGTTGATGGTTATATCTGTTATTTTGGAGAGAAACCCTGAGCTGGAGTTCCAGGGCAAAGTGGACTTGGACAAAGTGGTGCAAGAAGCATTTAATGACTTTCAGAAAGATCACAGCAGTCCAAAGGGAGCTGAAAAACAAGTGAGTAAAATATTACTGTCTTACAGAATTTACCATTCTTACTGAAGTTAGTTATAAATGTTAATTCTCTGCAGTTCAGAATAAGAAGCAATTCGTAGGAGTTCAGAATGGAACACAAATAATGAATATACCCAAGTGCTGCATAAGTCTGCAAGAGCCTGTAAGCAGAGATAAAAGGTGTGCACTTACTTTATCGCTGAATTGTGAATTCAAACTGGTACAGTAAGGAGAACACTCACAATGTTACATAGCTCTGAAATGAGAGTCGGGGTAAAGCTGAAATAGTTATAATACTCCTTAAAGGGGAAAGAATTAATTAGGGGGGACACCAGAACAGAGAAGAGTTAAGAATAACAAAAAAAAGAAAGAAAAAACTAAAGTTCCTCAAGGAAGTGTGAACTTAGGATCTTAGGTACACCGATACTAAGAAAAATTTAGTAGCCAAAGAACTCATTGACAATACTAATGTAAGAACTTGAAATGCAAAACTGTTCTTAGCTACTGATTTTTGTGCTAGAGTTGCATTCATGACCTAGCAAGCTTTTACTAAGGCTTAAAATTCAAACAATTGAATCTTGATCATTAAGTAGCTTTTAAGATTTACTTCACTGGGATTTTAGGTTTTATGCTTTAAAGACCTCTAAATATTCTCGCTACAAGTTTTGGTGCCTCAAAGCTCTGACATTCTGTAATAAAGCCAGGTTCATTGAACTGGTTGAAGGAGGAAATATGAGTAAAGTAGTGGAGTAAATCCCTGTGTTACTGAGGATGATCTTCCTCGCTCCGTCTGGCATTTTATTGTGCACAATATATTCGGAGATATCTGTGCTAGCTCTGAATAATCTATTGATTCATAACATATTGATATGCAACAGCACTTCCTGTTGCTGAATTTAGCTCCTTTAAAAGATGAGGAAGGATGCGTTCCTTAAGAATTCTTCCAAAAGTTTCAAGATTCACTTTTTTGCCACTACTTTTTTGTAATAAGATTTGAAAGCAAGCCAGATATCCAGCCTTAGCAACATATCACCTTGCACAATACCTTTGTTTTTAAAAGGACACAATTTTCTTGAAGTTGATTCTTTTGGCCTGCCCATTTTGGAGGGTAATGACGCTGTGGTTGCAGCCGTAGCAAAATCAGACTTATCATCCACACAAATGGCTATTAAGTGCCAGCTCTGCACAGTATCTTGAATATGCTACTGAATTCTGTGACAAGCTGGAAATCCCCAATGGCTATAAACAGAAAGAAAAATCCCATGCAAAACCCAATTTTTACTCGTGCTGCCCTAGCCTCCATTAAAGTGATGGATTTTTTTCCAAGCCCAGATCTACTTAGAATGATGCCTTTTTGTCTCTTAGAAAGAAATCCCGATTTATAGTTGTGAATAGTATCTTTAAGACTGTTGTTGTTGGAAATTCCAACTCCTTACATTAAAATTTTCTGGAACCTGACTCTCCCATATTCCCAGGTATATGCCCGCTGGCAGGTAACTGTTTAGGATTAATCCTATTTAGGATTGTTCTGATGATATTCTGTCTCAGGTTTTCCTAACACTGCTAAAAGAAATCCTAATTTGTCTGAATTATGCTCTTCCATTGAACTGACTTGCAAATATTTTGAACTTTGTTAATTCCCTGTTAATATGTAATAAACATCAAAAGTATTTACTCCAGTAATTTCAAACACACCCTAAAACTACAGAAGTCTAATATTTTCACCACACAATCTCTGCCCTTGATTTAATAAAAGTAACCAATTTCCTGAAATAAAGAGTTGAACCTTTATTATAGCAGCCAATATATAATTTGAGAATAAGCAGATGTTTTAACTGTGCAAAACAGGTGTTCAGTGAAGGAAACCTGTGTTTTTGATCTGATTAATGAATTAGTTCATGTGCCACCTGTGGTTTGGTTCTTGGATTTAAAAAAATTTGGAAACATCTTTTCCCTCTCCTGCAGGATCACATGACTGCATTCTACAACACTCACCCAATGGGAAAAAAGGGAACATGCAGCTACTTGAGTAAAGCTGTGATCACTTTATTGCTGGAAGGGGAAATGAAACCAAGCAATGATGATCCTTGTACTGTTAGCTAAAGCTTGAAACACAACATAGGAATTGTTGCTTTATTTAGTGTTCTATTATTTTTCATGCATGTATTAAAATACTGTTTTGAAGAGTAACCCTGGCTAGTAATACAAATGTATGCTATCCTTTGCTAAAAGAAGTGCCATTAAAGATACTAAGTGCCACCTAATTTTTTCCTTTCTCAACTATGCAGCACGAAACTCTGAGCACATGAAGTTAGTCCTATGATATTTGATTAAGTTGAATGGGACTGTATTTATGATCTTAAATTATGCATTTAACATAGTTGGTAACTTCAAGAGAAATGCAGTATGAGATTTTGTCTTTGTAATTATAAATAGAGGTATAAACAAGTTTTTCTGTATCAGTTCAATTGACAATGTACATTTAGGGTTTTTTTTTAATTTACCAGTTGATAACTTGATATACAGGTTTCATCTGAATAGAGCAACTTTATATCTCTAGCAATAAATATCACTGCGGTTTCCCAATTGTTGTTTAAACATCTGTAAGTTAACAAGGGAAACGTATGGTAACAAGATAAAAGTTTGTTTAAAAAAAAAGGGCAAACAAATTGTATTTAAAATTAACATCAATGAAGAAAAAACTTTGTTACATAATATATCAATGCATGAAAGAATTCAAGATACACTTATTTGCTTCCTAAATGTGTGAAAATACTGTATGCTATATGCTTTATTTTGGTGAAATTAATAAAAAGTAAATGCTTGTAAAAAAAACCTGTCAATAAAAATAAGTTACATGCAAAGACTCCTGTTGACTTTAGTGGCAAACTTTTAATGTGCTACTGGAACCACCTTGAATGGATCATTAAAGTGCCTCTTTTAGCAGCACAAAATGTACTAAAGCTTTAGAACTGGTCCTCAAATGTTTTGATAATTAAATTAACAGTCACCAGCTACAACTCAACTGTCAATAAATTGTTGCCATATTGATATTAAAGGCAGGTAGTTTAACTTACTTAGAGAGAGAGGGCAAAACGAATGGCAAAAGTGATGGGAGTGAATCTGGGCACAAGAGGAGTATTTATTTGAACACACCTAGGCAGTGGTTAGTACTTCCCTGATTTGCAGGACTTCCCCAGAAATCACAGAATCGATCCTTCTCAAACCAAAATGGTAGAAGAATTTGTTGTTGAAGGAGGACACTAAACCATTAACAAATCTCTTGTCAAATGATGTGGAGAATGAGTAAGGTTGGAAAAGCTCATTTTGGGCTATTAGAGTAGTGGTCTTACTGCTCTTCCTTGCTGTAATACATTTATCATTCAGAGAATAGTGGAGAGGTGGCAGGGGAGATGGGGAAGGAAAATCCAGAAGAAACACACACTAGTTATTCACTGTTGGGTACATTATTGTAGCATGTTAGTACATTTAATTAATAGAATGTTGTCTGAGGGGCTACAGCATTGCTCTAACTCCAGCAAGAAGGCTACAATTAAACAGCGGACTCAGTTCTAAATACTGAATGAGCCACTAGTTTAAAGAGCAGTCCAACATATCCTCAAATTTTTTAGTTCATTACTGCCTTAGGAGTTATCAACTTGCCTTTTTTTTTTTTAAAGTATTGCTTGCAGATCTACAGCTGGTCATGGATCAGTGATTAAATAGGTAGCGAGCATGTCTATTTCTAATGTTTTAAAAAATACTCTTAAAAATTGATGTATCTTTTGCCATACAAACACAGAGCAGAACTCTTGCTACAAACTATAAATCCTGTTGAAAGGAAACAATCCTTTAAATACAAAATCTACAGATTACTTCAGGAGCACTGGCATTTTGCTAGACAGTAGCACTGTTGTTTGGTTTTGCAATTGCTTGTGATTTAAAATTTAACTGCACAGTAATTCTTCAAATAGCAGGATAGCAGTTTTGGATTTTTTACATCACTTACCACTTCTTACTGCTTCTCTTCTGCTCTTACTCCTTCAGTACCTCCAGTTACTAGTAAGCCTCAAGTTTGCTAATCTTGGTCTGAACTGTGTAACTGCAAGTGAATGAAAACCCCAGTCACTGCTTTTCCTTATAGAAACTTGGAATGAAAATCCATGCAAACTATTTGTGTTTTCCTTTATCACCTTGAACACATGGTTTATGAAATTGTGATTGTGGCAGTTTTTCAACTTCTACAAAATAAGGCTAAGTACCTAGATTAGAAGAGGAAGATACACCAAAATCCAGCAGAGTCCACATTCTCTGAAAAAGGTTCTCGTGTCTGGAAGGACAATATCATCATCTTCTCTTCCTGAAGCAGGGACAAGAAAGGAGCTTGGTACAAATGGCTCTCACATAGCATGCCTACTAAATTATAGTTTTAAAAGGCAACACAAGACAACTGGAAAAGAAACTAAAATTTCTACTCAGGTAAACATCTTTTCCTACCTCATAAATTGTTTGAGATCACAGGGGAAAGAGAAACCTTGGTGAGAATAAAGAGGGTAGCAGAAAATAAATGGTAAACCAGATAGTTTTTAAACAACCATAGCTCAAGTAATGTGTGGTTAATATTTAACAAACTTGGTCCTGATTTCTTTGAAAACATTCTGTCTCAAGAGGACAAGGAAAGAGATGCGTTTGGGGTTGCAGACTTAATAACCGGAGGTGCAACAATCAATATAGTCCCCTGTGTACTTACTTAGAAGAGCTACTGGCAATAGAGTTGCTGCAGCCATTAAAGAAGTAAGTCCCAAAGGGTTCAATATCAGTTCACACCATTCAGTTACCTTATTATACACCTTCACAGTGTTCCAAAACTTGAAAAAACATTCCGCTTACCAGGGGAAGTAGGATCCATTCACACACCATTTTTCCCCCACATTCCTTCCATCAGATACTCTTGAGAGTAAGATCAAATGAATTTAGCTAAGCAAACCACAGAAAAAACTTCAGTTTTCCTCTGCTATTAGAAAGAGGGGAAATACCAACTTGCAGTGGCAACTCCTGATGAAAATGCACATAATCCATCCCCCTCTCTAACCCCAAACTCAATCACCTTCGATTTTGCCAAAACCATCATCTTCACACTGTGGATTACTGTGACCGTTAATAGGTGTCATGTTCACAGTACATCAGACATTTCAAACTGCTCTATTCCTCGAGAGAATTCACAAGGTAAGAAGCTGATTCAACTCAAAGCTGACTTTCCTGGCATTTTTGCTGTTAGCTTTGTTGCTTTCCTCTGTATGAATTTTCAGACATATTTTGCCTATGTATCAGTTTGTGCAACTGATACAGAACTGATACAGAAAAGAAATAGACAACCAGATTAATAATAAATCAATCTCTGAGAAATCCTCTTTATTACTTGCTAATCCACCAGAGCAGAAAATGTAGTAAGAGATCCTGATTTGAAAGGACTTTTGTTGGCTCAGTCCTGGGGCATGTAACGTGATGCTATCAAAACATTGACGGTTGGGGCATTTTTCTGAATAACATTTTGTCATCAAGGTCTGTCAGCATGCAACGTATTTGATAACAGCAAGCTTAGGATCAGTATGATAATACCATTAGATAGCTACCATTCTGCTTTTGTAATTCAGGTCTCACATTTTTTGTTTTCACTGCTATTTAAAATAGTTTCTTAAACCTTATACATGGAGTTCATGCCATGAAAATTCCTCAAGAAATCGTCAGCATTCATGATCAGTGTCATTTTATATTTATGTACCTCCTACAGTTTTCAAGAAAGTCTACCTGCTTGACCAACAGCATTCTTGAGACTTAAAATTATCCTTCTGTAAAAATGCTTTTCAGCTACATAGGTATTATAGTACTAATATCACTGGAAGACATATATTTAACAAAAAAAAATCAATACAGTCAGAGCATATACCTAGAAGAGTCTTTGTATGCTAGTTTGTAAGAGGAAAAAATAAATGTACCAAAAGAAGTGGGAGTGGTGGGGCAGTCAGATGCCTAAAATATAAATTAAGAAAATAGAGGTGCAATTAATTCCACTGAAGCCTATGTATCGCATCCCAAAATCAATCAAGAAAACTGCTTGATTGGATTTTTAGATCATTATGATCCACAAAACCCCTGCCAAACATACTCTCCTCTCCAGAAGTGTGACAGTCTTTTAAACTATCCCTAATGAGCTAAGCCTTGCAGCATGGGAAGAGAAAATTACATAAGCAAGAAAGACAGTCTGTGCTCTGCCATAAACACAAAATGCAACAGTGTTGTGAAACACTGCTGAGAGCTCAAAGGAAATGTGCTGGACTACATACACTGTTCATACCTACTTCTGCTCCTTTCACACTCAAACAGGAGAGAAGTCATGGGTTGTGTGTGTGAATATGGGGAGAAGGTAAGAGGGAAACACAGCTGGGGTCTTAACTATAGAGGACATAAAGGATTCCCCCTTGGTGTTGTGGTCTTGTGTTTTTGTGGGTGTTTGTTTTGTGGGAGTGGAATAAGGAAGTTGTATTATTTTCATTTGCCTATGTAGCACTCTGACATTAGGAACTATAAATGATGGGTGTTTTTTCCACCTGAGCATGCTTTTCATTTTGCACATTAGCAAGAGCTGGAACAAAAACAAATGTAGAAACACCAGATATAAGGAAGGAATGTAAAAATCTACTTGTGGTGGGTCTTTTCTGAATCAGAAAGACTCTCCTAAAAGGTCTGCAAGAGTTCCTTATGTAAGTATTCTGTAAAAGTGCATGCTTCTCACAAGGGAAGGGGAAGAGGGACAAAACAACTTCCCTTGTCTTCACCCAAATATATACAGGATAATTTTTGACCCGATCTCAAATAAAGTAGCAATTAAGTCTCTTATTTCATAAAATAACAACTCTCTCAGACAAAAGAGATGCTATTTGGAATAATGTTTCCTGCTAGTGCCAGACAGTAAGGATTGAGCTCACCTAAGCCTGATCCCTATGGGCAAGTTGCATGAAGCTTACACAGCTCTTTCAGACTGCCACTAGCAAGCTTTTTTAGTGATTAAGTTGAGGCCAAACAGAGGGAAAAAAGGATGACATCACGCATAGGAAAAAAGAATGTAGGAACCATTTCTTACTCAACTTTCACATTAGTGAAACAATCAAAAGAAAGAGGCCTGGAGGCTCTATGCCTAGGGACATCAAGAAATCCACCTGGATTGCAAGAAATCCACTGAGGTGCCAGTGTGTACAGGAAGAGAGGACATCATATTATTTTAAATCTGTACAAGACCACAGACCTAAAACCTGCATGTCACTCCATCCAGGTAGGAAACACACAACTTACTAAAAAGCAACTCCCAAGAAAATTATTGATAAAAAACATCCCCAAAACCCACTTTCTATCACATCACTGAAGAGATATGAATAACGCATGTGTGTCCACTCTGGGTTACGTTCCAGAAATGAAAATGTATAATCTAATTCCACTTTGAACTGGAATGGGACTATATATTGAACTGTATCTTTTTTTACTTTGTTGCCTAAGGTGGATGCAAGCATCTCAAGCTCCTTGTTTGCTTATGAAAGGCTACTATATCACTGTGGTCTCTGCAACAGGGTTGTCAGTTAGCCACGCCACTAGAACCTGAAATTACTGGTATTGCTCGTGTACACGTCATCTGGCTGCAATTCAGACTTCCACAGATGACTAATCTGACTCATAGGCAAGCAAACCCAACAATTTTCTGTGTTCTAGCGACAGACAGTATGTATTTAGTTAGGTATGCTACACAGTTGAACTTGCATTTCCTGAAGATAAATCATGCTGCAAAATTTGTAAAGGAAACATTAACAATGCC